CAGGTCTTTGACATCACTTCAGGATGAAGTCATCAAAAAATGAGACTCTCATCAACTGCTGGCATTCACAGACATTCTGCCAGTTAGTAACACAGACAATGCAACGGGTCTGCATTTGATGACATACAAAAACATCTGCAGCATTTAACTCGTCAGCAGTCTGCGGATGTAAACAGTCAAATGAGATACAAGGGTCATTTTTCATGCTATACACTAAATAGTGCCGCACAGCAAGAAAAACATAGGGACGTTACATTATTGCTAATGGATGTTTACCAGAAATGAAGAGACTGTAAACCATGTATGTCAAAGATGCAATATCTGGATATATTTACAGTAAATGGTGACAGAGAAATCCCATAGAAAGCATTATTCCATTGTATTGACCTTTGACATGCTGTTTATTTTATTCTTGCATGCAACCTTGCATTGAGTGCAACATACGAATAATGTTACATTTCCTGTGTGCTGACACTGGTAAACTACAATTGAGGATGGTGAAATGATGGTTCAGATGTAAGGGTATTTTCTATTTTTGTTCAAAGAGGCAGCTTGTTTTTTTGTGCAATTCAAAGGTGTATAAAGGCAATGTGAGCTCAGTTTAAGATGTATATATATATTTTGGAGCAATTAGCAACTGTGATCAAATGTTTACCAGAGCTTCTCATCGAAAATGATTCCTGTATCCTTTAGGTCTAACATATATATAAGGCCTATGTCAAAATAATGTTGCATCTTATGTCTATTTCTAACCACTTGACCTCAACCTCGATGTGAAGGAGAATTCATAATGACTCATTCATTGCTACAATGTCCTGCTCCAAGTGTCAAATTCCGATAACATCAACTTTTTGCAACTTGAGGGCCATTTTATGAATGAATGTCTGACATTCAGCTGGTTGGCTGAAGAGAGGAGCAAAGAAAATCTCAACGTACAGTATGATTCACCACAACAAAGTGTTAGGGAGGGGGTGGTGATGTCATTGGTGGTGGTGGGAGAGTCATGTGTGAGTCAGAGAGGAAAAAGATGAGGAGGAGATGGAGGAGGAGGAAGAGGATAAGGAAGAGAGCTGGGTAAAAAAAAAAAAAAAGAAGCATGGTGTGGGGTACCTGCTGTGTGTGACCGATGGTAACAGGCAATGCTGGCCTGTGGATGACTCACCACTGCTTTACCAACCTCCAACACACACACACACACACACACACACAAACACACACACACACACACACACACACACACACACACACACACACACACACACACACACACACACACACACACCCACACACATACATAAACAAAATACACAGTGATGCTTACAACCAGACAATCAGAAATGTATGCTGGGGGGGGGGGGGCTCTTGACATCACACACATGTTTAATGATATCGAAGTGGCATTACAAGCATGTAGTCTTCCACACAACATAAACACACGTTGCCGGCAAGACGCACACACAACCACATGCACATAGACGCACATGCATAATACACACACACACACACACACACACACACACACACACACACACACACACACGCACACACACGCACACACACACACACACACACACACACACACACACACACACACACACACACACACACCACATGAAGTGCAAGGGAGAGGAGGGGAGGGTAAGGATGACTCATACATCAATGATAACACCCCTCCTCCTTTCCCAATCAGACACACACACACGCACACACACAAAGACGAAAAAGAAGAAGCACATAATCATTTGGATGCAACCCACATCCTCCCCACATCCTGGGGAACCTCCCATCTGAAACTCACACTGACAGCAGGAGGCTCCGACTGAGTGCAGTTTGTCTAAGGTGATGGGAATTCTCTGGCAGGATATCCTCGCTTAAATAAATATGATAAAGTCAAAATGTGATATGCCGGTATTTCTGTACGTGTCTTTATATTTCAGCACTTATCTGTTTATATCAATTGTTCACGGTTAAAATAAATCTGAATACCTTGGTATAATTTATTTGGAGAATAGGAGCTTGGTGGGGACGATCGTCACTATATGTCTCTCAGAGTACTTAGAAATTCCCTCCAGTTAACAGAATAGATATTTTTAGAGCGAAATGTTTTTTCTATCTTTGTCTTACCGTGGCGGATAAACATGTTACAAGTGATTTTTCCACAGGCCTTTCATTCGTTCCACCGTCTGCCTTTCTGAGAAAACTCTGACAGCTGTAGCTCCATTTGTACTGAACAGTGCCCTCTGGAAGACCTATTAGCACTACACGCCGGTGCTGTTTCCATAGTGGATGTTCTTTAATGTCGTAGTGTTCCTCCTACACTTATAACAACATGGACTCTGTCTGTGATTTGTTTTTTAGTATGTATCATCAATTTGCTGTATATTAATTTAGCTTTTGTTAAAATAAAGTACATTTACTTGATTTGGACACATTTGATCCAAGGGTTGCACAATGTGTAATGTTCTTAGTATTCATTGATAATTAAATGCTAGTTGGTGTTTGTAATTTGATGGGTCCCTTATGATGGGGGGGGGGGGGGGAGTTTACACCACTCCATTGTGGTCTCCATCTTCTCACTGAAATCTCAACCGGAAAACAAGTCTATTCCCAACCACTTTTACTTTGATCCTAGCAAAAAATTATCACTCAGAGCTATTTTTTAGAGGCATTAAAAGTAGGTATTTTTTGTGGAAGACATTTTGACATATCACAGTAAGAGAAATAGATGTTAATAATACAATTAATGATTGCAAAAGTTGTTTAAGATTTATGGCCCTGACATTTTTGCATGCTTGGCTCACTGTCATTACTGGGACATTTTAATACAATAGAGCCATCTATAGTTTTATTGGTAACAGCTGGGCCTTTCATTCAATGACAAGTCAAAATGTCTGCTGTGAAAAGTCTTATTCTCAAATAGTGAATTTGTTAGTAAATCAATTGTTTTTTAAATTATGCAGTCGAATTGGGGCCAAATCATTTTTGAACTAGTCTACAGTGCACCATATACCTGTCTGATAAGCCCTTAAAAAACTAAAACTCTGAACAAACTTGAGTCGTGTCCCAGGCAAAAGGATTTGGTCCGAAACATATTGTACTACTTTATCGACTATTGTAAATCCCAAAAGTTTGAACCAAAACTCTGTTTTACAAAAGCCAGAAAGCCAAAGCACTTCTCTTTGGAAAGATGGCTCACTCCCAGGCTCACTGTAAATCAAAAAGGCTCCTCTTATCTTTTGATAGCTAAAACATGCAAGCAGTGCAGGCACTTGGCTAGCACACATAATTCCCATCAATTACTCAAAGAAATACTTCCGTCTCTGTAAATCGAGGGCAGCTGACAAGACACAGACAGCTCTTGGCACAATGGAGTCATTTTATGAATGACATCTGGATAAGGAGAACACCTGGACTGTGTGACCCTGCTGAAGCAGAGCAGGAATGACTTTACAGAGGGAAGTGGTCTGAGGCTGAATCTGTGGAAGATTTGCATGATAAGGAATTTGGTTGTTTGTGTGCCTTGCCAGAATTTACAGCTGAAATACTGTCAGCAATTAAACCCGTCCGCTCCTGGCAAAATGAAGTTTGTTTTTCCAAGGTCATCTGGTGACGTGGTGGTTCAGTGGACTGGTGTTGATGGTCTGGAGAATAATCTCTACTCTATTTGTCTCTTACTCTCTCCCACTTTTGTACTGAGCAAAATTGGAAAAATGAACAAAAAAATATTTGCGTTATTAGTTTCCAAAATCTGAGACGGTTGGAAGTTCACATTTTCAGCCTCAGAGCCGCTGAACATCTGTGATTTCTGACCAACAGCTGTTTCTGTTTTTCCCAAAGTGCACAGCGCAAAAGAAGAAATGACTTCAGGAAATCTGATTTAAAAAAAAGTACCAGTGGTGCTGCAACATAGAAGGAAAGGTTCTATAGTTTAAATGGAAGAAAATTATTTGTTAAACAACATTAAACAGTTGCCTTTCAGTATGCAGTCAGTTTCCTGTCATCAAATCACACATACTGCCCTTCTCAAAATGATTGACCACATGGCATGAGTATACAATTAATATCATTTAGAATGGATCAAACCAAGCATGAACATCTGGATCGCTCTGGCTTCTATGTGCTTCTCTTGGGAACGCTCTATTACATGATGTAATATGATCATTTTTTGTGAATTAAGAGTGACATTTCCCCCTCTGTGCCCTGTGAAAGATGACCTGAATGGAGCTAAAGTCATGTAAACTGAGCACCACCAGAGGCCAATATCCTACCAGGATGATGTGACACTATGCGACAGTAAAGGTTTCAGTAAAACCAAAGAGACAGGTTCAGTTGGTGTGACATGTCTTCCAGGTGGAGGGACCTTAACTTCCTGCTCCAACTGCTGACATGTATAATTAGCCACTACCAGTAAATCATCTCACTACTGTATGTACACACACACGTCTCCTGTGTGTTAAATTTAGCATGGCTAAAAGTATGTCAGTAACTGAACATCGTGGTCAGCTCAGCTTCCTCTCGGAGGACTGTTGGATCTCCACCTTTCTCTAGCCTCCACATGCCGGCCAAACTTTGGTGTAAAATACAGAACATGGAAGATTGTTTTTTTATTTAGGTCATGTAAGGTTTACATTTAGTCTAAAAACAATGAATCATCCAATTAAACGATATATACTTTATGAAATGTCTTGACATCTGTCTGAATTAGGTGTTTCAGTCTTAATGATCATTAGGCTTTTATTTTGAGATTCTTTTGAAATGCTTTTGCTTTAAAAAATATATATCTAAAATAGACACACAACAGCATGGAAAAATGGAAGGAAATGTTTTTTGTCAATGTTTAATAAAATTTAAGCAGTAAGAGAAAAAGCTCCTCTTATCATTATTATCAATACTATTTAATTGTTCTGATTTCTGAACTAGCTAAATTTAAATGCCTGTTATATCATGTACTTTTTTTAAACTGGAAGCTAAATGTCATTTGATAAAAGCTCAACAAAACATGTCCTTTTACAGTTTATTTCAAAACATTTTCCAAGCAAGATAATTTAAAATTGCTGTAAAAAAAAAAAAGTAATTCTGCTTCCACTAGAATGAGAGTAAACAGGAACAGAATGACTCTTTTGATATTTCATTGTAACATCAAAGGAAAAAATCATACATCCCTTCCTCTTCACAGGGAAGGGTTTTTAAATCACATCTGGCAATACGATAATTATTTCCTCATTGGAAACCATTGGGGTGACTAAGATAGGGTGTCGGAATCTTTTATTTAACAATTTTATTATGTCTATTTGCACATTTGAATCTCGTAACTAGAAGCTTTTTAAATCACTATCACTCTATATTTGCAGCTTTACATCTCCGCTGACATACATGTTTTATCCATAGGGAAACAACACTCTTGATTAGTGCTTAGAAGGTAATAATTCCTAAATACATGTGGAATAAATGCCCAAGAACCCAAACATCTAATGATTTCCCTTTTCAGTCTCGTATTACCTGAATCATACACTAATTCACAAGGGACAAAAAGCATTGGTCAGAAGGATTATATGCACATTAAACTTGAAATATTGTTACACACTGCGTAAATCAACCCATAACACCAAAATGACCCACTGCCCCTGGGCTGAGAAAAAAAAAAAAAACATCTTCTGGTAGTAGACATGGTGAAAGATAACACAAACAAGACTGCCCCCTGGAGGTTAAACAGGAGCACAGTGCATGCTGCTGCTACCAACAGGCAGTAAATAAGGCATTCATTTATCAGCACACACTTCATAACTGCAAATAGCACTTGACAGTTCACCACTAACAACTGAAGGATTTTACTGATTTCTCAGCAGTCACTATGTCACACCAAGAGGAGACAAAAGATGTATTGTCCAAATCATATAATCAGAGGTTAAAAAAAAAGTTCTTTTCTCCCTTCTTGAATGGAGAAAGCCAGACCGCATGTTTCAATGAAAAGGAGAAAAACAAATAATGATGGAAATCTGATGGATTGAGAGTTTAGTAAATGAAGAGGACTCGGGTGCGGGGCAGGGTGGAGAAGGTGTCAGCCATCTTGCGGATCCTGGCGTAGTGGATGATTCCTCGAAGGAAGAGGAAAAAGCCTGAAAAGCACAGAGAAAGGGACAGTCAGGGTTAATAAATTAAACTGATGAAATACAAACAGTTGTCTATCTAATAAGGGTGATAATAAGATAACATACACAAAGTTATTCAATGAATTCGTAATATTACATTTTGATTAACATTTTTTACTTTGGTGAAAAACACTTTCTCTCCAATACGGTAAATGACAGTCTTTTTCGACACCTCAACACTAATGCAATGGAGCTCCAGAGAACAGAAACGTGTCACAAGCCAAACGTAAGCATTTGATTCTCTTTTTGAATTGTATTAATTCGGAGTTTGGCTACTTACCCATGACCAGGAACACCCACCACAGCCAATACTGTCCGTCAAAGTAACCAGGGAAGTATGTGGAGAACTAGAAACCCAACAGGACGATACAAAGTAGCGGTTAGAATAAATATGGCCTTCACTGGTCTCACTCAAATGAGTCCTGCATTTTAACAGTGAATGAAGAAAGCAGTGTACTTCTCAAGAGAACTAAGCAGTGTCAAAAAGCGAACCATGACAAAAACAACACAAATATACCAGGCTTCTGAATAATTGATTGTATTTTAAGTCACATTTTACGTGTTTGTACGTGTGCTGTGTTTGAGTGTCTGTGTTGTACCCGGACAATGAGGATCCATTTAATGAGAGAGAGGCCAAAGCCTGAGATGGCACCGTAGCGTCCCGCTGCTGAAGTGGTCAGACAGAAAGACAGGAAGAAGCCGATCCAGTTGAACAGGAATGCCACTGGACAAAGAATAAAGGGAAAAGAAAGAGTAAGTCATGTCATCCCAATTTTTTTTTTATCAAAGTAGAAAAGCTGTAGATGAATAAGGTTGGGTGAACAAAAGAAAGAGACAAACAGTGGGTCAACTAACTGAAAAAAGTGAGCATGAAGATGCCATCATTTCCTATCCTCAGCTGATCAGCGTCTTCAAAGTCGTCTCTGGCCACAAAGTCTTCATCCTGAGATAGAATAAGCGACAGTTTTAGTTTTTAAGATTTATTTAACCAACTCACAATGTTGTATTTAGCATTTTACAAGTACAGTGTACAATGAGATGTAGGTACATTTTAGAAAAACACAGGCAAACTTTGTTCAGCTTTGGTGGAAACCAAGCTTTGTTCACGACAGAGAGTAAATACAACACAAACAACCAACAGAACAATGGAAAACCACAACACAACAAACCTGTTTACCATTTAAACCACTACTATCATTGTCACCTCATTAAAAAGTCAGTTAAATGCAATAGGCTATCAGGAGAAACCAGTAGAGGTTGTTTACCTAACACAGCACCAGAGGCCTGTACTACGAAGCTGGATTTTCGCTTAGCCGGCTAAATTCAGGGAAATCTCGGGCTTTCCGGTCCTACGACGCTGGTTCTCTTTTTAGCGGGCTAGATTTCCATGGTAACTTATGCTGAGCGGCAAACCTGCTCCGGAGCAGGTTAGGTGGCAGGCTAAGAGATCAACTCAGTGAAAGCACTGCCTGCTGACCAATCAGAGCTCCGTGTGCGGAGTTTAAAGCGATCAATTCATATGACAGGAGGAGAAAGGAAATACAGTTTAAAAAAGAAAGACGACCGGCCAAAATCAACTGACTGTGTGAACGTGAAAATTAATAGAATATCCCCTCCCATCTTCAGAGCAATCTGACTATTATAACATTAGCGTTAAGAAAGCTTACTTAAATATCTGCCACGACATAAGTAACCGGATCAGAGTAACATTAAGTACAGTCCGCGGCACTGTGAGTGTCCCATTATCATTCATATCATATCATAATGTATCATATATTTCCTTATTTGAGTCAGCTTCTTGAGCCGTATCTGGCCGTGCAACACTCAGTGTCACATACTGTATGCAGAAGTATTATTTTAAGCAACACATTAAATTGACGAAACACTCGAGTCAAATGTAATTAAAGTCAGATCCACTCGTGTCTTGGTCGGGGCAGTGATTTCATAAACCTGTTAATGTACGCATTCAAACACTTTTTCTTTTACCAGCTGTATTCACCTTGCAGGTGCAGCTATGTGGCTTTTATCCTGGGTAAAGTGTTTAAGTCATGGATGTTTAAAGTTTAACTTCCTCATATTTGACTAATATTAAAGTTCACTTTTCATTCAGGAAGTATGACGCTGCGCTGTCAGTACGCTTCTCCGTGTTTGAGATTGGTCGAATGCTCCAAATACCACCCCTTTCATGTGAACGCGCACCTAACTAGATAGGACACGGCGGCTTGAGCGATCCACTTGATATCCAGCGTCGTAGTACAGTTTAGCGCCAGCGCGTATGTTTTGGATTGGGCCAACCGGCTAACTCCAACATATCCAGGTTAAGTTGAACCAGCTTCGTAGTACAGGCCTCAGGTAGAACTCTGAATACACAAACACACAAAAGGTTGGTGGACTGAACACATAAACACTGTAGGTACAGCTGCAGTTTCACACACCAAATACACTTCCTCTCATCATACACTCTCCTCCCAGTTACCTCCAGTGAACTGCGAATTACATCATCAAAAGTCTCCGGGCGTTGAAGCTGCTGCTGAGCGCAAGGCAGTGTGTGGCAGAGAAACACAACACCAGCAAATCAAACACAGTGGCCCACATGCAGAACGGTGCAAAGCATCACAATGACCACTAGAGGTCAGATAGGAGCTGTCTTTTTCCACATGATATTTCTAACAGAAACAGTCGTTTTTATAGGAACGTATCATTTCTTATAATTAAGTCAGAGTGCCTCGGATATGACTTTGTGAATTAAGCCTACTCACAGCGGGATGGATTACTGGTATTGTTATTAAACAGTTATATAGGCATTAAATGCAAGTAATGGCATTCGGTTGCACATGAGGTTTGCTTTGCCCTTTTTAAATAAAAAAGAAAACTAGGCCTACACTTAAACTTGAAAGACACGTCTTTTGCATCAGTAAAAAGAACATGGATATCTCTCCAAGCTGTTTTATTTTTCATAGCAAAAAGAATAGTACAGAAAAATAAGTCTTTAAGTCTGATGCTCCCTGTCTGTTTCTAATGCTGAACCAGTATTTACTCAGATTTTGGAATAACAAACTCCGGTACAAAGTGCACAGGGGCAAGTTAAAAGCCTGACAGACTGAGGCATTGAGGGCAGAGAAGGCTAACACCTGTGAGCACTGGGGTAATTAAGTTAAAAAAACCTCTCCCATTCAAAACGATCCTTTAATATGAGTGATAATACATTTCCTTATATTCTTTATCAATATCATATTGTTAGAACAGCAACATAATCTTTGCAGTAGTAGGAAAGAGAAAGAGGCAGACTCAGATTTGTTCCGATATTTGAAGACAAAAAAAACGTTCCATTGCCGGGTGCTAACCACTTCCTTGCAGGCAACACAGGAAGTGTTTGAGCACAAGCTAATGTGTGTGTGTGTGCCTGTGAGACCACAGGCTATATGCAAATAAAGTGAGACACTCACTCTTCCGGTTACCAGGGGAACACTGGTCTCAGCCTTGGTTCTTTCTGCTTCATCATAGGAAGGTAGGGTAGTCGCTACGTTGTACGACGGAGGCTTGGGGAAATCCCCATCTTCCTTGTAGTCAAAGAAGGCTGAAGAAGATAACAACACCAACATAAAAAGGAAGAAGTTTCACTAGTACAAAGTTGTATTTTGTATACATTGAGAGCAAACTGGTTATTGCATCAGCAAATTACTGGTCCTGCCAAAACTAGAGCCACTATTAAACTTGCATTGTTGTTCTTGTGCTTGTTTACTACAGGCAGGCAGCTCTGAAAGTGGAGACCAGCCTACTAATCCCAACTGCCAGCAAACGGACTTAGATTACAAAAAGATGCTGCTTACGGAATCAAAACAAAGCTCTCTTGTATGAAGTTTTGGCCAAGAAGACATCGTCGACTGGCCTAAACTGCCCATCTAACTGAAAAAGGTATGGTTAATAAATCACCCTGCTTTCCTTTAAAAACATTGATGAGTCAACTAACTAACCAACTAAAAAGTATTCTGAAAGCAACTTGTATTTATATAATTTGACTAAAATAAAAAAGCTCTTGAACAAGTAAAGGTGCCAAATTTAAAAGGCTACATATTGTATTGGAAATGTGTGTTAAAACAAGATTGAGGGAAACGGATCCAAAATTAAAAGGATATTTGAATTTGGGGACAAACTAAAAAATAGCCAAGACATCGCTCAATAAAGAAATGTAAGTCTAATCTACGTGTGTATTTTTTTATATATCCCTTTGAAGCTGTTAAGTTTATACTTCAGTAATGAATTTCATTATTAATACCCACTTGAATAGTCCACAGTTATTTATAATTTAATATCTCAAGAAATCATATAGAGCCGTGTTAATGTTCAGACTAACACAAATATGGCTTCCCAATGTGCCACCGATGCAAATGACCTCCGTACAAGGGAAACATCTGGACAAGTCAGGGTCTTACCAGCATTGTCCCCGGTGATGCTGCTGTATGGGGGGGGGGCGTCAGCGGCTGCCTGTGGACTCTCCTCTGGGTCCTCCTCATTGGGAAGCTGTGGGAGGGGGGAAAAGCCATCCTGGTTTATTTAGGGCTACAATACATGTGTGTCAGCACTTGCTCATCTCAATTAGAATCAGATGTTTTAAGAAGCTTTAAAATGCCTGTGTAGCAATAAATGATTTTCTCAACACCCTGGCATACTTAAAAGAACCCACAAACCAAACATCTATAAAATAAACAGAGGAGAAGAATGTCATCAAGTCCCACATCAAAAACTGTTTTTAATTACATCTGAACATTTTAAAGAGGAAATGAGCATTTACAAGGATTACAACATGTTTCTCATTCCTCTTTCTTTTGTTAAAAGTAGGAAACATGTGACTGGCAAAGCTCAGCCAGCCCTTACCCCTGATTCAGCTAAACAAGATTTTTCAAACCAAGCTTATTTGATCATAAACCCTCAGGCCAGTTTACAGGAAATACCACTCAAGTGGTGCTGCATACCAAAGTAGTAGACTGACACACTGGGTCAGCAGAGGTATCAATTACAGATAACAACACCTTAGGTGTCCTTGTGACGTTTCATTGTTCAGTTCCCATGGTATTTCTTATGATAACTGGAACTCAAATCTTATCATAAATGGGTGTGATTAGATTTAGAAGAGAACGGGGGAATGTGGTCAACTGATGCATTTCCAAATTACTTTTCTGGCATAAACCAGCAAGTCCTGTAATAGTCATTGAGATTACCTGAACAAGCAAGAATATGAAATGTGTTTAATGACTTGCTTAAACATCCATGGGGGGTAATTATGAATCCTTCAAAACATGAATGAAATGTGTATTTGTGTATTAATTGAGCACTTATTACCTCTGGAAAATAATAGCTGTTTATAAACTCAACACACCATCAATCATTATCAAGATAAGATAATATAGATTATGCTCCAAACACTTTCATGTTTCTCTTTTGTATGATTCAAATAAAATCACTGACAGGCTCAATTCTCGTCACCTACAGGAAATTATATATTTATTTGACATAACAGCAGTGGTGGAAAGTAACTAAGTACATTTTCTTAAGTATTGTACTTAAGTACAACATTGAAGTACTTTTATTTTACTTGAGTATTTACATTTAATGCTACTTTATACTTCTATTCGGCTCAACTCATGGGTAAATATGGTACTTTTACTACACTATATTAATTTAAAATCTTAGGTAGGTTAGCTTTTAACATAATGTATCTCTTAAAAATAAACTAGTGGACTAACTGTTTAAGATACAAAAACAAATTGAATTATCCAACATATAATACAAATGTCAATTTTGTATGTAAAGTAAAGACTAACATGCTAATTAATGCAACAATGTATGTCACATATACTGAATATTTTTATAATAAATCACACATGGAGGCCATTTTTCTGGAGAATTACTACATTTTGCTGATAATACTTCTGACTTTACTTGAGTAGGTACTTTTACCTGAAATTGAGTATTTTACCATTAACGTATTGGTACTTTTACTCAAGTAAAGAGTACTTTTTCCACCACTGCATAACCGTTTCCAATGCATCTTCACATTAATGCTCACTTCCATCAACCACATAATGAGCAGCAGAAAAAGGAGTCACACCCACTAGGAGGTCATGTGCTTCATCCTAACATTAGCATGTAGGGCCAGGGGGTCGTCGATAAGTGTTGAATGAAGTTACACCTTAAACCACAATGCTAACTAGCTAGCATCCAGTCAAAAAACCAGAGATAAAAGCGCCCCAATAGGCAAACGCGTTCACATTCTTGTAGAGAAAAAACAAGGAAACGTTAGCGTCAATTTAGTAATGCTAGCTTGGTGTTAACGGCCAGCTACACCCAATACAAATAACTAAATTAACCTTATTAACGCTAATGACATCCCTAAATAGAAAACCCCCACTATCAAGGATGTGACACAACCATAGACTGGACACAACCCCACACGCCTGGGAGAGCTACTTTAATCTAACAGTATACAGCTGACGTGAACGTGTCATTTTAAATTATAACGTGTTATCCATTAGCAAGGTTATAGTATCCTCATACCTGCTGATATCTGCCGCTCGGTTCGGCCATTCCGCTTTGAACGGCTGGGAATCAACAACAGAGAAAGACACCCAACGAAAACGAAATTATATAAGAGTAGGCTACGAACTGTAAACTCAATGGAAACCTGTTTCTCCCTCGACTGCTTGGTGCTCTCATACAGCTGTCAAGTTACAGTATTTCGTAGGATACACTACCTGACTTCCGGTTAGACATAAAATAAAATCCCGATGGAGAACTATGAGCAGTATATATATTGATTTGTGTTGTTGTTGTGAAGTACTAGGTTTTTTCTAATCTATTTCAATGAGACTTTTTAATTAAAAACATTTTTAATTTAGTTTTTGTAACAAAGCAACAATTACAATGCTTTTATTTTGAAACCAAAACAGAGCCGTTTCCTCTAAATTCTTGCTATTTTGACGACTGTTTTTGCTGGCATATCGATTGACGTCATAGGCCACAACAAACTCGTTGCCGCCCCCATTAGGAACAAAGTGATATTAATAAAATAATCATAAGAAAAACGTCACTGAAGAATTATCTGGGAAATGTTCTAATAATGAGAAAAAGTCATGCATCATCAGGGGTGGAGGAAGTCCATTAATTAAATATAGGCCACTGGTATCACCACTGGTGATCAATTTAGCATAAACCAATGTATTTATAATTTTCATGATTAATCTGTTTGTTATAATTGTAATGATTAATCTAAAAGTAAAAGTTACCAAATGGAGTAAAAGTATGATATTACATGAAACAGCATGAATTATCACATGACACATTCAATTTCACTTAAAATACAGTTAGAAAATGCAGCACTAGAACAAATGTAATTGGGTCTTGTAAGGTTTTATTGTAGCTTTATATAAAATAAAAAGACAACAACAATTCCTGTGACACTTTGCATGCAAGCTTAAGAGTTGGAGAAGTTTATCTCAGATTAACTTCTAGTCAAGTTACTGAGTAGGTTTTCGGTACTTAAGGAGCACAGGATAAGTAGTGCCAATGTGCTTTTCGTTGTAGTGGTGGCAAACAATCTCCACGTCATAAAAACTGAACTGGACTTTGACACGCTCGTTGGGCGAGGATAGGAAACAGACAGTGTAGAGAGCAATCTCGAACTCAGGACTGACACCAACGAAGATGCTCCCCTTTGGCTTTATACCATCCTTCCAGCTGAACTGTAGCGCCAGGATGTGTTTGTTCTCATCGGGCTGCAGTGAGAGAAGGAGAGATAAATGGCAGGTGATGAAATAGACATGAAGAGGATGGTGAGGGATGGAGAAATATGTAGGATTGTTTGACAAAGCCACCTCCTGAGACAGGAGACAAATAAAGATGTGGGGGAGACAAAACTGACTCATGATGGTTAAGGTGTCAGTTTTGTATTATCAAGAGAAGGAAAATATGAAACCGGGATGGAAGGAAGTGAGAATGGGACAACATGAACACCCTGTCAGTGTTTCACACTTGTTATACACACCACTTGATGTATGGAAGCCAATTATCACCAAGAGAAGAGAAAAAACATGAAAAGGCATGAAAAATGTAAAAATAGTCATCACTAAATACACAGTATATATACACACATTTTTGGGGTGATTGTCAGCTTACTTAGTATTTTACAAAATGATGTGGGCTAAATCCCCAAATATGTGCTGTGATTTGCATTAGACTCAGATTAGAAAGACAAATAGAGAGAGCTGAACGGAGGGAGAGAAAACACATATTCATATCAGGATGTGAGTTTTCTCATAGGTGTGTAAGAATGATGATGTGAAATAGAATACAAACTGTGCAAGTTATCTTAGTGGGGAAGAGATGTGAGAGATTTGGGAGATATATTAGTATGCATATTTGACAAGGAATAAAATACAGATATTGAAATAATGATAGATTTTTGACACAATGTGGTCAATCTAAATTGAAACAATAGACAGGCAGTAACATCATACCTGGGGTGAATGTGCATCAACGCTGTAGCCTTTGTAGTCAACGTGTCCCATCTTCTCTTGTAGGTAAAGCTGGATCCAGTTGTGAAAGCCGATGACAGTCCGACCTCCTCTTGTCTCTCCAACAAACACATGTTCAAATCCAGAGGAGTCTGGCCTGGAAGGAGTAAGCATAGGTGTCATTTAAGCTTCGGACACTGGGGACATGTCACCACCACTAGTCCCCAGTGCTTTTTAAAAGGTATCATTTGCTAAAAATGTTGCGTACTCAAAGAAATGTATAAAATGAGAACACTTTGAGAAAGGGTTAAGCCTACAATATAAACTGAGGCTAAGCAACAGCCCACAACATGTGCATGATCATTAGTTATAGATGTTATCAACATACTGTATACTGTAAACTTCACTAAAGATATTAGACTGACTACTGGTTAGCGCACTAACTTGAAGTCTAAACTTAGCATCCATTCAATTCAATAAATCATATTAACTCAGTTGCAATTTGGACATAATGCAGTGTTTCGTAGCCTGCTTCTTTTCTGTCCTTGCTTCAATACACATTTTCAGTAGTTCCAGTCATGGTATTGCTGACTGGATGTTCTACACAGAGCCAGTTACTCAGACGGTTACCATCATAGCACCAGATTCCACTGGTGAAGTTATTATTAAGGTGTTGTGCCAAATTTCACCCACTTGCTGGCTCCTTTCCTCGCATAAAGTTCAAACCAGATCCTGTACAGCTGCTCCTTGAATTTGGTCTCATTCTTTGGAGACAGGTTTTTCTCCACCAGGTATTTGTGAGCGATCTGCAAACAAATAAGAATTTCCTATAAAATGTTGTCATACACTTATTTGCCATGCTTGAGATGTGACCTAAGGGATGTAAACCTTTAGTATAAACGTAATGATTTAATAATAATTCAATCATTTGGAGCATCTGTTTAATTGTTATATGTGAAAATGTAAACAACTGTGCAACTCTGGATGAGTTTGCATTTGTTCATTTTGCAGAAATTAGCCATAATGAGGTGGAGAAAGAGATGGGAGTTTATTTCCATTTGTTCCCACAGGTACCTTCATGGTGGGTGACTGCATGATGCAGTTCAGGAATTTGTGGTTCTCTGCCACCTCCTCAGGGGTTACAATTTCTGGCTCGCCGGTGTCACTCACATAGTTATCCAAGAGGGAAATAAAGGCTGTAGAAACAAACACAAGCGCTCTTCAAAAAGGGATTTCTGTTATCAGTCCTGAACATGGATACAATGACAATTACTATAGCTGAATGCAAACCTCTAACTCAGAACAGTATATACAGAAAAAGTCTCAAAACCAAATCAGCAAAAAATGCCAAATTCAAGGTGAGGGACAGTTTGTATAGCCTTTATTTAACCAGGTGAAAATCCCAATGAGATCAACAATCTCTTTTTCAAGGGAGACCTGCAGCACAATGGGTACACATAAAAACAACAGAAAACAAAAAGGACATCATACAACATAATTACAGGGGTACAAATTACAAACCTATTCACAATGACAGGTATCAAATAAAATGTCATCCAGCCGCGCTTTAAAATGATGCAAGGGAACCAAAATGCTCAGTTTCAAAAAATGTTGCATAGTGTTCCAAGCTAGTGGAGCAGCGCACATAAAAGCTTTAGTATCTAAAACAGTCCTAGCACTTGGCACAAAACAGTAAAGTAAAGCAGGTTGCTGGAGACTATGTACAAAAAGTACAAAAAATGCATAAATTATTTTAACTGGGCAGCTGCCTCAAAGTGAACTCTATGTCAGCTGTTACCAGTCCCTCGATACAGCTCTGTGCTAGGGCAACGTGATGCACAATAAACACTGAAGACATCACTAAACAAGTATTGCCGGAAAAAAATGTGTATCAGCAGTTTTCATGCAGAGAAAGTCTTGAAAAAGCCAGCGGTGGTAGAAGAGAATATTTCGGTACCCATCACAGAAGACTCTGCATGCTCTAAGGTTATGAAACATGCTGCTGTTCGTCATAAGGAGATTACGAGTCTACGAAGAAGCTTTTCTCAAACGACGAGGAGGATAGTACCAAACAGACACGGTGTAGTGGAATGTGGAGATTATGTCAATTGAAACCTTTTCTGACAGAGCTGTTGTGTAAGAAGCAGCCTCTTTCCACAGAAACAAGGGAAATACATTAGGACAGATAATTCACTTTTGGATCTTTTCCCTCATGCACTTACCTAAGAAAGTCTCCTTTTTGAAAAGGTTCTCATCGACAAATGTAAACAGAGGAGATCCTGCTCCATCATTAAGGTCCTCCAACGGCATGCTGTGAGCAGCTTTGCCCTGAGGCAGGAAGAGAAACACTCACATTTTAAAATTAGACTCAAATTGTCAATGCAAAGTCAATGCTTTCTGTTCCCAAAAATATACAATTATTTTCTTGCATGCTCCCATACATTCAGCATTCAGTCAGTGCATTACAACCTAGATTCACTGCCACAGTGTCAAACAATTACCAAACCACAGTGAAGGGAAAATATATAGGTGATACAGAAGAGCTGATACATCAAACAACCGGGAAAAAATCGATTCTGTTTTCTCATCTGTGGTTTAAATTAAGAGCATATCATATATTCCTTTATATATTTTTTGTATTCACCTTAATATAATGTATATATTTAGTCATGTGACATGTGATACAATTGGCTAAGAAAGTTGGTATTAATAGGTTGGTATATGAACATGAGGTTCTTAAAATACAGACTTAGCAATTGTAAATGTGTTTGTGTGTCTCTCACCTGCAGAGAGATCCTGTAGTCCTTTCCGGGTTGGAATCTGTTCACATCACTGTCCCACAGCTCCTGCATGATGGACGACAGCTCTCTGTCGCTCTCAATCATGATGCAACCGCTCGATGTTCCTTTGTCTCAGTGTTTTTCTCTAACAGGGAGGAACATTAAATAAGGTTCAGTGTAAGCAGCAGACGGTAACTAAAATGTTAAAGTTTTAGTGCTTTTTTGATTGTTATGTTTACTTTGTTGTATACAAACATCTGTTGAGATGGTAAAACATGATTTAGACTGATTTTGAGATCATGGAATTTATCTTTTTAGATACTTTTTAGATTTTTTTTTATCTTAAAAGTGTGAGTGTTTGTTTGTATCTGGGTTAGATAAAGATAATTTTAAAATGTAAAAAGTTATTTTCTTCACATTTTAATTCTGGGACATTTCCCGTAACTTTCAGAAGATGATAAAATTGAAGAAACATTTCAGTTGGTCAAAGTAATCTCAAACCCTCTGTTAAGGAGTTTCATTAAAGGCACTATGCCTTTTGTAATGTTGTTTCACATTCTGTTCATGAGACAAAAATACAACTTAATTTATTCATATTGAACTACTGCATGCTAAAGATAGCTCTTATTTATACAGCCATTTGTTGGCACTGTATGGGGGTATTCATTTCAGAATTTTTATCTGACAAAGACATGAATAATAAGTTATTATATCTAAAATGCTTTAGAATTGAATTGTAGACTTCCTTCTTACATACACACAGATATTGTTAGAGATATGAAAGTAAAGCTTGATAAATAACCACAAAAAAGTCCATCAAAAGGCTATGATGAAGCAATTGTCCAGTCCACACCATTGTAAAAGACATAATAGCATCGCCCAGCCAGACATAGTTTATCCATCCAACTCAACACCACCACAAAAACATGGCTGACAGCAGAACACATGATACTGAGCCCTGGGATCCTCAGCATTATCATCCGAGCAAAAATCCACTGACCTCTGTCCTGTGAGCCTGATTTTCTGCTTCAGCGTTGTAAGAGTTAGTGAAGTTCCTCAGTGATGGTCAGGTGCTGCTGGTTGTGGTTTCCTGTGTTTGTGACAGCAGGTGTCTTTATGGACAAAGTAACAGCTCAGTCAGTGTATGGAGAAAGACAGGCAGGGGCTGGGGGGGCGGGGGCGAACAGAGGGCACGAGGCAGGGGACAGGACAGGACAGGAGAGAGGGGCCATTTGAAAAAGGTTGTCCCCTGTCAGCAACTCTAACCAAAGGGATTACAACATGTTGTCGTCTCTTTTCAATCTCAGGCTCAAATGTGCGCTCTTTGTTTCTTTAGTATTTCATTGTTTGTCTGTCTGTCACAGTATAACCTCTGGAGTACAGGGTAAATGTGGTTCATGTTTCAGATAATAATAAGGTGTTGTAAAGGTGTACATAAAGCACTACAGAGAGCAATTTATTTTAGAAAACAGGAAAAAAATAATCTTGGGTTGGGACATTTCTAGACAAATCGAGTTTGAGAAAACCTTATTCAGATCTGTGACCAAGAAAATACTGACACTGACAGTGTTGCTATCTATCACTTGTGTATAAGACTGCAGGTATTGAAGCCCTGAATTGCAGGTGATAATTGTTTTGTTGTTTAATCTAAATTGTTTATGTCTCCTCTGTTAAGACTTACACAGGTGAAAATCCAGTTACTTTGTTATTCCTTTTCTTTATTTTCATCTAGGAAACAGAAGGAAAACAAGCTTTGCCAGGTTAAAACAAATTGTTAAACACATTCATTTTCTGTTCCAGGTTCACAGATCTCTACAATTTAGATATAGACTAAATGATGCCTATATAGACTTGTATATAAATATATGATTTACTGTGTTGTACTTCTCATGCAATCTTTCACTGCCGATACCTCGTTTCTTCCTGACATGAAACACAATTGAACTAATTTGACTGCAACTTTTTACTTTTGGGAACCAGTTTCTATGTGACGCATGTTTTCAGTACCTTTGACTAATGAAGCTCAGCGTAAATTCAACCAGGAAGACCGTCTATTCACTATTCCCATGTAACTACTCTCTCTCCTCTCAATAAGTGATCGGGGGCGTCACTCTCCAGCTTAACCAATCACTTCGCTCTATTCCCAAGAGCCTATCATAGCGCTCTGCCAAACCTTTTAAGTCTGCTCTCCCCCCTCTGACAGCTGTCATTTCAGGTGACTTCACGCAACCCTCCTCCACCCCTTTTCGGAAGACCTCCCGTCCCTTTGAATCCAGGGTCAAGCTAAACCATTCCTCTTCAGACCGACCCAACTATCCATTCACCACCACCAGTGTCTAGACCCCAGGGGGGTTTCATCAGATCGGTTCTACCCTCCCGAATGATACTTCCTGCACAACGGGGCCTAATCGCCAAAATCACCATTACATTCATTTGTGTATCTTTGCAATAAATATGTATTCTTACATCAAAACCGTCTCTCCTGATTGAAACACAAGTGTTGTGAGGTCTCAGTTTCCCAAATGATCTCACTGAAAAAACGTCAGTGTGTTAAGTGAGGGCAGAACAATTATGGCAGCAAAAAGGAGCATTTTTCAGAGTCAGATCAAATGAATACAATTAATAAAATGTGAATTTTTTACTTTTATTTTAATGAACATTATGCATATGAATTTTAACAAGATTCTGCAGGTACTGTATTCAAATGTTTACTAAATTAGACATTCAGTGACATTTGATCTGCACTTAAGGGGAGATGAATCCATGTGCATAGACTCATCAAAAGATTGTCTTTTTATCAGTCCCACCGGCATAAACTCTGAAAGTAGTCTTTTGGAAGAAGTGAAGAGCAAATCATTCAATTGTAGCAAGAACAGATTTCATGCAGATCTCAAATTCAAGCAGAACTTATTCCATGAGATAGTCAACCTTCAGGTCAAATGTAAACAAAAGAAAATAAATTAACATTATACAACGTGTTTTTGTATATCTAGACAGTATCATTATTATATGGCCTCTCTTTGACACTAAACTTTGGCAACATTAAAGAACAGTTGTACAAAGGAGGGTGTAAATAAATCAAATATCATTGCTGAATGTTTTGGCTGTTTACCAAGTGAGGATTTCTTTTCTCACAGCTCAGTCCCTGAATAACTCGACACACACTGTGATCACGGTAACCCCCCCAGAGGTTTGACTGCCATAGATATAATCTGCAGTGTCCTTCATTATTTCAAAAAATACATTTGACTTCAACTTCTTACCCTCAACCACTCCCATACAATTCAACCTTTCAACCTGCCTGATTTGTATCACATGACGTGCAAAGGTGTGCTTTAGTAAAATAACTCATCTCAAGGAAAACAAATTAGAACATTATTTTCAGAGAGGAGAACAAATATCACATTTTGGCAATAGATACAAAAATGTCTAGATGGTAATATCTGGGCGACGTATTTCCAAGTGTGCCTCCATTGCTTTCCCTATGTTCGTGACTATGAAGATCATGCAATTATCCACCTAGAGAGTTGTTGAAAAGTTGTTAGTTGGTGGCATAGTTGTGACACTTGACATAAAGCCAGAAAGAAGTTAGATATTTAATATAACAAGCAGGATACTTATTATGACAAAAAGGGGCAAATGCAGTCCTCCATTTCCCTAGAACACGCAGTTATTGGGCAAATAGAGGCAGCCACGTTGGATTTACCAAACTTAGTCAGTGGTTGCAGTATCACCTGTTGATCATTGCAAGCCTGTGAGATGTCAAAGCTCATGAAAAAACCCAAGCGGAGAGACACGGATGATCTTTGAGCTTGAAATAACAGTTAGGTCCTATGACATTGTCATATCTAAAATATATACTATAGTCTTGATGTTCATGAATATTTAAGAATGTGTATAATTATAACCGTTTTTATTTCTAATCCTCTCTGAACAAATACTTTATATACATGTCATCTGTCATATATAAAGTAAATATAAACAACTTGTTTTCTACTCAAGATGCGTTATTATATTCCAAACATAAACCATGGTACATGTATATGGTTGAAGTGACACTCCTGTGCTTTTGCAGGCATGGTACGTGTCACAGGTGAAGTGATGTGAGATGAAGTGATGTGAGATAAAGTGCATTCAGATGGAGCATTCAGCAGCGAGGTACTGCCCAGGTGTCAGTCCTCTTCATCACTCCAGAAGGCATCTTCTTCGTCAAGGTCCACACCTTGGAAGAGTCTGCAACAGGTAAACAAACAACACGTCAACCAATGTGTCTGTGTACAGTGTATCCGTGACTACTTCTCTGGTGCTGTGTACAAAACAATAGTAGAAAGAAGATTACTCACTGGTTGTAACAGGGTGAATTTGGGTTGTTAAAGTGGCTGTAAGGGTTTACTTTGCTGAGGATGCCCAGACACAGCCAACAGAAGTATTGTCTACATGAGGTACAGGTCATCTTATTACAGCCATCATCTTTCTAGAAAGACACAAAGACAAGGCATTAGCAGCAGAGGGATGAACAAACAGCAGTAAACAACAGTAAGTGAAACAATCTGAGTCTGAACATGGGGATTTTAAGGGACAGTGTGGTCTGGATAGACATATTTTTTTAAGTAAAGCAAAGGTAGGGAATACACATTTGAGAAGCACTTTTTATTGTATATTTGTGATTAATCCCTATGGTATTTAAATATCAAATGCTCTGACAAAAGAAAATCAGTTAGATCTTTTTAAACAAAAGCTAGCTTATTTACTAAAACCATTTGTACCAGAGCTATGCATCAAGCGCTGGCAGCAGATATCATTTTGAAAACATTCTTTGAACACATTCCTGCAGTCGGTGTATAATGTTAAGTAAAGAAAATGTTTCATATTAAAAGCAGTGAACACTGACCCCTGGTGATAAAGTCAAAGCCTGTTTTAAGTGCACTGAACAGCAGGAGGAGGAGCTACCTGTATGTTGGTTCCACAGCGAGGGCAGCCTTTGCAGTTCTCATTGAGCCAGTCTCTGCTAAAGGACTCTTCCACTGCTTTCTGGATCACCCTCTTCCCAAAGCGCTGCTCCATGAACTTCTGCCCCGCAGGTGTGGCTGACAGGTATTCATCTCTGAGGTTACGCAATTCATCTGTGGATCAAGGCAGACAACAGGGACAGGAACTCAGAGTTGGGATTGAGAAAATGTGGTACTCATTGATTCTTCTTTAAAAAGTCATAACCATTATGGAACCTGAAAACCAAATGTTATTCACAATGTATCGACCCACTGTATATGTATGGATTTTTATTGTGTGCTTAGCTTTAAAAACTAAACACCAAATCTGCAGTGTTAGTTCTGAGTCAATTGTTAGTAGTTACTTAGTAGTAGTTTTCCAAGCCCACAGTATTAATTGTATTTAAAATACATGGGGGCTTAATTACAATTTGTCTTCAACTAAGATGTTGTCTTCCAACGATTATGAAAAACAAGACAATTGCTTTTTATAATTTGTATTATAGTTGAATTATATTCAAAGTTCAAGGAAACTGTTTCTACAGTCAAGTAGTAATCTTGTAGACAAGCCAACCTGTTGCTTAAGTCCTTTATAAACTTTTGTTGTGAAGCAAACCTGTTTTTAGTGACCTCACCTGCAGGGAGTTTACAGTGGGAGAGACCATGATAGCCCATCTTGCACAGTGTACAAAAGGCATACTGGCAGGCTGAGCAAATGGCCATGGTTGAGTCTGGCTCCACCATGACCGCCGTGCCGCAGGACTGACGGGGACAGTACACCACGTCGGCCATGAGGTCCAGGCTGGACTGCAGCAGTAAGCGGTCATACCGGGCAAACAGCTCTTCATCCACCAGCTGCTTCACCTGAGAGACCACAATCAGATCAGAATTCCTTTATTTGTCCATTAGAGGGGAAATTTACATTATATCAGCAAAGAGACAGGCATGATAGAGACAAAATAAAGCAGTATCAAAACAGTATTTAGTAAAGTGAACAGTATTTAGAAAAAGTGAGAACACATATTAAAACATTTAAATATAATAATGACACATTTCTAGAAAAAAAAGTATATTTATAAAAAAATAGCAAAAATAAAATGTGAAACAAGAAGAAAGTAATAAAGTAGCTGCAGTATGACAGTAGCAAATACTATATTACCTATTTTAAATTATATAGTGCACAGTTTTATGTTACAAAAGTGTTGTCACAGGTGAAATGGTTTATTACAAAAGATGTAGGCTTAATGTATTCCTCTGAAAAAAATGTATTCAACGGTAAACTAACCTTTGAACTATAAACAAAGACAGCCACATACAAATATGTTTCTACTTTACTGTCTCTTACCTGCGACGGTGTTGCTATGGAGGTACATTTGGGCTCAGGGCAGTTAAGGCACTGAACGTTGCCGTCCCGTATTTGGATCTGGAAGTATTCGGTCATGCAGGACTTGCAGTAGACATGTTGGCACTCTTTAAAGCAGATGCAGTGTGAGCCCATCTTCTCTACAAAGCAGATTCCACAGCCGAACACCTTGCTGTCAAACACCCTCTGGCGCTGCTCCTCGTCAAAGTCCAGGAGCTGAGGTAGGAGGTCGGCACGCGGGTCCATCGACAGAACGGCCCGCGGGTCCAGGTGAGAAGACAGGGACAACTGTGCTTCACACTTTTCCTTCTTCACTTCTCTTTTCTTCTCTTCAGCGTTTTCAGAAAGACTGCCACCTTGCGTCAGAGCTGAACAAAAATGATACAAAAGACCAACAAGTTTTTAGAAAGTTGCATTGTTTTGAAAGAACCAAAGGGTAATTACAGATTACCTAATAAGTACAAATAATAATAATAATAATAATAATAAATACAATTTACTTAAAATAACAACAATAAATACATTTGGCAGGAACTGTAAACAGCTTATCTACAGAATAGCAGAAGAACATATATTTGATCTACTTATATTTAGCTAATGCAGATGTATCACACACAAGCAAATTAATGTAACGAAATGTATCTGTACCTGTAGCTGCTTGGTCATTCTTTCTGCGCTCACTACATGCCTTACTTCCTCCCTTGATGAATTCAAGAGGAGACTGGATGCCCAGGAAGTCCAGAGCCTCTTCTTTGAGGAACTGGATCCATGTGAAAAGAATCACACAGCCTTCGTTCTCCTCCCACAGCTCATCCAGGCGTCTGCACAGAGCGCTCATCTAAGGAGGTAAAATGGAAAAGGAGAAGAAACATCAATGTATGGTAAGAACACTTTTTGGAGTTATAACAAAAAAAGAAAAAAACTTCCTTCATCTTAGTTTATTCTCAATAATAATCATTTACAAATCCTTCGATGCAAGTGTGGGTCATCTTTTGTGCAGTGAAGAATTATGTAAGCCACCATGAGTGTTACCTGTGCTCTGGTCATCCATTTAGAGCTGAGGGTGAAGACCGGCGAGGACGTGGATGGATAGAATGCAGGAAGCTCAAAGTTGAGCACCAAAGGAGGTAAGAAGCAGACATTATGTTCGGTTTGCTTCTCTCCTGCAACACAAGAGATTGGGTTACATTGAGACAAATAAATACATGTTCCTATAATAAGAAAATAATCTATCTATCTTGGCTACTTGACTCACTAACAGCTGTACCTTTGAAAATAACTTTGAAATCAGGAGGGAGCTCTAGACAGAGTTGGATTTCCCCCCCCTGTGCAGACTCCGCCTGGTGGAACTCCTCCTCATCGTAGATACTTGCTAAAGCAAGCAGCTCATCCTCCTGTGCTTCCTTGTCCTCAGACATTTACATTCCTGCAATAAAAAACATGTGGGACATTATTTATTAATATATAAAAAAGCAACAAAAGAATATAGCAATAGCCAAACAACAAGACATCAAACCCCCAGCGAGCTGACACAAATACCATCCCATCCCGGACACAAATTGTTTGTCTGGTAGGAGGCTGCGGCCCATCAGGAAGAAAACCTCTCACCACATGAACAGCTTCTTCCCTTCCACCACTAGCCTCAATAACAAGGCACGGGACCCCTACTGACACCAACCCACCCCACAAACATTATGCATTACAGTAATGCATATCATGTGAACAACATATTGCTCTATTTTAATACTGTGAGCAATGTTCTTCTCTCTGAATATATTTTGCACATTTCTATATATATATCCCTACCTCTCCACTTTAAAATATAACATACTGCAGTTTGTCGTATATTGTCTAATTCATTGTACTACGTTTTTTTGGGATTATTTTGTATATTTATATTTGGTTTAAATACTTGTCTTTAGTTTTTTTTAAATGTTAAAAGTTTTCAATATACAAAAACATGTTTTACTTTCTCTTACAACTTATTTAATTATGTTGTTTTTATGTTTGAACCACCATACACCAAAGCTAATTATTCCTATGTAATCCTGTTCCGATAATTCCTATACGTGTAAACAGACCTGGCAACAAACTAGATTCTGAGTAAACTATACACTGTTAAACACCAGTTACTACTGTCATTACAAAATTAGCATTTATACCCTAACAAAATATATGTATAAAGTCGTGTATTGATTAGTGAATGTAATGTTAGTTAACTACTGTTTACTCGTAGCTCTATAGATAGATATGCTATGTAGCTGTGTGCAAAGGTTGCAGCCTTTGTTGTTACGTAAGCTTTCCTTTGCTAACGTCAAGCTTTACTGTGCTCCAGAGTTAGCACGCTAGCAAGCGAAAGTAAACTTAAGCCATTCAAAAAGTCGTTGGCACTTATTGATAACTTAATACTCGTCTAAATGACACAAAATAGCGTTTTTGACAGGGGCTGACTGGAAAACTTAAAGCCAGTACACAGCTGAGTTGGCAGACTATGACAAAAGTTATCACTTGGTGTAAGCACTTAAGCTAGCCAACAAAAGTAACCGTTATCCATACTAAACGTGGTCGCCATTAAATGATAATATAATACTTGCATAAATAACGAGTGGGGGTGTTTACAGGGGTCAAACTTCTGCCTGGTTGGTGAACTAGGAACCAAACTTATTTAGCAGTAGGGACAAGCAATTAGCAAGCTAGCAGTGTTAGCTGATGTAAACAGAGTGACTATACCCACAGTCTGAGCTCGGCCCTGCTTTAATATTTCCTCTACGACAGCATCAAGCAATGGCAACTTCTGGGTAAAACTACAATACATATATTACATGCGGTAACACAGTCAGTATGTGGTTAATAACGCGTTTCTTACCTTGTCCGACCAAATACCAGTGACTCCTGCTACAGCTCTGACTGGACCATGACAGTATGGAGGCAGTGTGTCACAGCGCCGCCTACAGGGTTAGTGCAGCACATTTGTATTTCATTCAAACTATGTTTTCATACTTATTCACACACATATTTACTGTGCTTACTTATTTTACGAAACTTGACATTGTAGGGAATATAATTTATGTTTACACTATATTTCAACCATGCTTGTTCTTGAAAAGCGTAGGACCTGAAGACTGGGGTTATAATAACTATAATAGTAATAATAATAATAATAAATAATGATACTCACATCCCCCTTTAACAGAGGGAGATATATTTATTTTATTTGTTGTCAGTCCAAAATGTTGGGTTTTCAATTTTAATTGAAACATACCCTAAATTAATTATGAATTAAATGTGTCCAAGTGTATGTGTATCTAGGGATCAATTAATCAACAAATGGTTCAGCCTGATCATTGTCTGTCAACATTACAATTACATTTCCTCCTGGTACACTTTACAAACTAGGGTAATGGGAATAACTGACACTATTGCTTGTGAATAAGCCATTTCTTACAGCACACGCTTTTTTGTCAAGTTTTATTTTTGCTTTTTTTGGTGATGTGGCAATAACAGCAGCACCCTGAAAGTGATTTGTTAGACCAGCATTCACACTGTTGAGTAGAAAAAAAGACAGTACAAGGCTACCAGAGAACAACAAACAGACCATTGCTTTTGAATGAGAAAAGCCAAACAATGAATTACTGCATGACAGTTACTTTAAGTACCTAGTTTCAACATACAATACAAGTATACTCAACACAATCTCCTTTCTTATTTTTTAACTAAATAAATCATAATCCAGCAGCTACAGTTATTTGTAGAGAACACATTTGCCTATTTGTCATGTACAACTTGGAACAATCCATATTTGTTTACATGTGCCACTGTTCCTATACCATATTTAGACATACTGCAATATTATACATTTTCATGAATCCTGCGTGTATTACTAGTTTTCTTTTGCTTAGCCACTTGTATTACAATTCTTTAAATCTCACATTCTTAGCTTAAAAGTGCTCAGGAGATGCTGAACAAACAATCGTTAACTTAATGGCCATCAAAGCAACACAGAGATAGCAGTTTCCACCATACGCTCACAACTTTTAGGTCATAAAGTAGTCCTTTCAATATTAATATTATGCAATATTTTTGTATTCATCAAAAAACAGAAAGAGAAATGACATGCCGAGGTGGCTGACTGATGAATAGTATTGATAAGGGATGCGGCTCTCTGTGTTTTCTGTGTCATCGATAACAATCTCAGATGAAGGACAAAATCAGGGGCATGTAGCAGGAGAGGAGGTGAAACTCAGGTAAAACAAGTTATTCAATGTCCATTTCAGGTTGCTTTTTCTCTGGTGTTCCCTGCTCCGTGCCTGCAGGTTTGGCTTTGTCTGAGTTGCATGGCTCCTCTGTTCCCTCCTGCCCATTGACCGGCCCGTTCTCTGTCTTCTCCTCTTTGGGAGGCTCCACCTTGGGCTTGGGTTTGGACAGCACGGGGTTGCAGGTTGAATAAAGCTCCTGAACAGGGAAGAAGAAAGTATTTGTTAGAGCAGGGGTTCCCAACCCCCGGTCCGCGGACCGGTACCGGGCCGCGGAGGTGTTACTGCCGGGCCGCGAAATAGCTGTGAGTTTATCGTAATATTTGCAGAATTATAAATATATAAAAATATTTTATCATAATATTTTTTTCAAAAAGTGTTTAATTTTCGCACCTATGCCACCAGTCATATTATTTCATCCAGTAGCTAGTTAATCTTTCACCAGAAAACCGTTGAAAATGGCTTTTATGATGTTCCGAGGGATTCGGTGGCTCAGCCTAAGGTCTCAGCCTCTTGTGCGCACGAGCATGTTACCGGTGCGCCAAGTAGGAAGAGGAGCGCACAGGAGACAACCGTTTGATTGCAGACTGTTATGTTTATGTGGGGAAATGGTGGTGCATACATTATTTGAGATATATTTCAAACTCGGACTTCATTTTAAGGACATGTCGGCCAGGGGTGTAGAGCTATTTGTTTAAGCACTGGATTGGCAAAACAGGAGAGTAAACCAGTATGCCTTGATCTATGAATTAATGTCCGGGACTCTCACGATCTGCTGCCCGCAGCTGTTTTATAGAAGGAAACCCTCCTTCATGAAATGGCTGCAGCATCAGGAGGCAGCGGGACGTAGGCCTATACTCGGTAAAGAGCTGTGCCTTTTTACGCACCGCCTTCGCTGTGTTTAACTTAATCAGAACAGTTTAAGAGTGACTGCAGGCTGCTACGTGTTAACCACACACACATCTACACACATCGAACTGCCCGATTACTCCCCCTTTTATTAGTTTTATGAAGGAGATGTCCAGTCAGTCACCAAGGCGCATGATGTGTGTGTGTATGTGCTCTGCTCAGCTCAGCTCTGTGTGTTCGGTGTGTTTGTGTCTGTCCGACACCGGCATATATGCGGCTGTTCCCAAAATAAATTAGTTTAATCTTAATCTCGATGCTAAATGCTGTCGGGAGTGCACCGGAATGAACGACATTTTCCCAGCATTCACTGGATTATCCGTAAATCATACAAACAAAACCAAAACGTTGATTTATCTGTTTTCCCGTTTTGGTTTAAAAACTGAATAACGTCGGTTTTTTGGTTTTCCGAAAAACCAAAAAACAACACCGGTTCTTTTTTAAACTTTGTTAATATGTTTTGGATGCATATTGTTCTAGTATTTGTTCAGGCTGTTACATACAATTAGCCTCTGTTGCTACCTGCTGGTGGTGAGTAAATATTAAAATCAGTTAAAATTGACAACCGGTCCGCGATTTTTTTTTAATGTATCTACCGGTCCTTGGCACAATAAAGGTTGGGAACCCCTGTGTTAGAGGACAGGTAGAAATATAGTTTTTTTTTTTACAGAGACCATGATTTACTCAAATCAGGTTTTAAAACAAATAACGATATAGTGTACAACCAATATGACAACTGATGATTTTCCCAATTTTTTCCAGTCACTACAAAACTCAATAAATAATTAAATCTAACGGGAGTGGATTTGATGAAGCTGTGGTAACAACCTCCAGTATTTCTATGGTCATATATCTGTACATGCCTTTGAATGCACTCTTTTAGTACCTTAATCTTGGCATGGATCTCCCCGATCTTGACGACTGGGTCCAGAGTGAGGTCCTGATTATTCTGCTGGTTCATCTTGCTGCTCATCCAGACCATGGCGTCCTTCCCCTGCTTGTCCACCCGAGTCACCTCCAGCTCATCCAGATGGTCGTACAGCTCATCCTGTGAGGAAAAGCACAGATAAATGATTACATCTGTTTGGTGATAGTTCATCAGTAGTCTAACATACAACCATGTGATGTAATAAATAAAGGTTAATCTAATCTAACTAAGCATTCATTTGGTGAGCAGACAAACTTACCTTTGCCTTGTAAGCTTCAACGATCTTCATGTACACCTGTATCTGTCTGCCAAGCTCCTCAAATGCTTTTGGTCTCTCGTTAGCTTCCATGTATCTCTCACAAATTGGCTGGCCCATTTGCTGTGGAAAAGAACATCAGGTTAAGTTAGCAAATCAGCCAGCGGGACAAAAAAATAAAAAAGTGACATTGTAGAGGAATGTTGAAATATAAATGTCAGCTTTCTATTACAAAAAAATGCAAATTAGCATTTATATCCAGTTTTGAAATAGGTGCACAAGTACCAAAACCTTACAGTGAACCATCTTCTCCAAATATCAGTTCATTATTGAATGGTAATGTTAACAGTTCACGTATAAACATGTGTGCAGTTACACACTGCATGCATGGTTACCTTCAGGTCACCCAGTTTGTCGATGTAAACTTGTTTCTGTTGGTCCTCTCCGTCTTCATACAGCCAGGTCTCTGTATCCTCCAGTTTTAATGAAAATGTGTCACGATCCTACAAGTAAATAAAGAAATTAGATTCAATTCCCAATTCGCACAATTGAAAGAACAAAACATGAAATGCATGCAGTACATTTGAATTTTAGAAAATATAAATGTTGGTGCTATTTTGCATCAAGTGTGATTTACTCACAGCTTCGTTCACAAACTTCTCCAGGATGCCGTGCAGTTTATCCCTCATTTCATACACATACTCTTCTACGTAGTTCTTAGCGTCATTCCTCTCCTTCTCCAGCTTATCCTGCATGATCATCTTACCCTGGAAGAGTCACAATAATGGTTTTCTCGATGTAGTCGGCAGAAGAAGACACAATCAAACAATAACATGCTACTTTGCCCGCTTACTGATATTACATATTATACCTTTTATCACTACAGTCAACACTTTGGTTCAGTTTAAAATCAGGTCGGGCTCTCTAAATGTAAGCTTGTGAAGTGGGAATAACAATAATCACTTTTGTGGGGAAAAAAAATCCACCTATTTAGAAAACATTAACAAACTCTGTAAAAGGAAAACTTCAATTAGTTTAATAGAATGTTGTCATGATTACGTCATCAGATAAGCATAGCTGTTATATTATAAACATAAATTATAAAGTGACTGACAATCATTCCCATTTGTTTGAAATAAAAAGCAAATGAAGATAGGATCTGGGGGTCTCACGTCCACATGGCTAAATGCATGCTGGACATTCCTGGTGATTTTTAGAGCATTACCTCATTCTCCACACACAGATTCAGAACGTCATTGGGCAGCTGCCAGTGCAACTTGTTCTCTATGGGCAGCTCCACTGTCTTCGTTTTGACTTTGGGCTTCTTCGCCTGAGGGGGCTGGTTCTTCCCCTGCTTGTCGTCCTCTGTTGTCTGATAAAGGAGAGATGAATTACAATGAATATATTCAACTATAACCTACATAATGTTATATATTTAACATATGCTTGAGGTTAGTACAATGATGGTGAATCTGAGAAAACATAAAAGGTTAAACGATTATCAGTCTAAATGGTCTTATTATAGTCAAAAATATTATTTTATAAAACATGTGAAGCCTTGAGGGACTTTCAGTCATTTTCCTCTGGTGAGTGACCCCTTGCTGGAATCTATCAAGCTCCACCTTAAGGTTTAAACTAATCCTATCAAATCATTTTCTTTGTGCTTGTGTGCCCCAACGAGAGATGATAAAGTCCTTTAAATGTGTGCAGGATTACTGTTATTTATTATTTGTTTATTGTTGTTTATTTATTATTTGTGTTGGATTTGCCAAACGATAGACTTTTGAGGATTGTTAGTACAGTTTTAATGTTTTAGTGTTTTAGTATTTCATTTGAACTATATTCTTCTCCCCTATATACTTTTTTACTTCTTTGTTTATTTACTCCTTTCTTAATGAAGTGCTAAATACGGTAATAGGGAAAAAGAACGAAGGGAGGATTTTAGAAACAAAAGCAAGGATGAAGAGAAGGAAAGAGGGAAATGAAATAAAGAGCAGAGAATCAAAAGAGCCCGAACTCTATGGTGATTGCCTTACAGGTCAGCACAAGTTTACCTCCATCTCTTCAGCTTCTGTTTTTTTATCTTCGCTGTCTCCAGCCGGGAGTTTCTGATCCTCATGGTCCATCTGCATTTTGTTCTGACAAACGGTAACAAAATGGAAGACATAGTACATTAATTATATTTTTATAAAACATGGCATTATGCTGCTAGTCTTATCCAAACTCGGGCTTCAGACAGATTGAATGTGAGTATCACAAGTCAGCAAACAACTTTCCTTCTCACTTATGTGTCCTGAGCCTCTTATAGGTAATGCAGAGGTAGTGTAATGTGTTCATGACGTTATGTCATTTTCTTCCTTACAGATTGGCCATCTACTATTGTGTGTCACCCTAGTTGAAGTGACATTCAATCAGAGGAACATTAAAGGGTAAAGTTTGCTCTAAAGAGGTGGAAAACAACCCAAAATAAAAATTATTCCAAAGGAGGCCTTAGCAAAAGACAACTTTAAGCCCTTGAAGAGATCTGGAACTTGTTAAGGCAAGATATCAAAATTCCATAGTGACGGCATTTCTGGCTTATACAACATCGAGGTGTGGCCAGACTGACTGTGTGAACAGGTTGTCTGAGGTGAAACACAAAGGTGTGTGTGCGTTGCTGTCAAAGTACACACCTCCTCTTCATTCACTGTCTGGTCATTCTCCGTCGACTCTTCCCCTTCAGGTACTTTAATGATCTCTACCAGCGAGGCGCTCGACACACTGAACATGCCGTGAATGTTGACCCGAACCTTCACCTTGACCTTTGCACTCTCCCCGGACGCCTGAGGAACCACATTCTTGACCAGGAACTGGCCTGTAGTGCAGAGGAAAGTGTTCAAACGGAAATTAAATTATTCAAATGGCATAGTTAACATGTTATAGAAATCTTTAGGAAGCTATCAAACATCTTGGAAGTAACATTTCTTAATTGTAAGCATAATTTGAATTGCAAAGTAGTTGCAACCACTCAAAGCTAGATGCTTGCACATATCACATTTGAAAATGAACAATCTCTTAAAAGAAAGTTAACTATAACTTGGACACTTAGGATTTAAGCTTGCATTTCAAACTATATCATTAACATACAAAATATCTCCAGAAACGACTTTTCAGTTATAATAGCTTTTTTAATCAAATATAGCTTGATGTTGCAGTACCTATAGCGCTGTTGGGGCAGGGCAGCTCCTTTTTGTTATTGTAGTAACCTTCAAGAGTAAAGGGCTCTTTCCGGAAGAAAGTCAAAACTTTGGAGAAGGGAGCTGCGTGGTTCTTTGGGAAAACCTCACAATCACTGTAAGCACACAGCAGGATGAAGTCAATTATTCAAGAGTAAACACAATTTGAGCAAATATTTGACATGGCTTGATACAGCTGAGACATTTTCAAATATCTGGTTAAATTTGATTGCAACTAGCATAGATTGCAGATGGTGGGTGTGTGTGGTGGAAATGAACTACAGTTGGTGTGGGTGTGGCAATATATCCTGCAGGCAGGTGTCCCAATCCCATGCAGACTTCCAGCCTTGTCCTAACTGCAGGTTTGGGAAGCTTTTCAAAACTCTCTTCTTATTATAATTTTCAGAGTTTGGGTTGCTTCAGCTGTCAAACTATCAGTGTGTCATCAACTATGGTCTTACAGACATAATATAAAATAACAAACAGTACGACATGTAACTGATATGGTAATGACATTCTTAACATTTAAAGGAATCTAAACATTTAAAAAAAACTAACTCCTGAAAGTTTAAACATTGCAACAATAAAGACATCTTATAAAGCATGATGTCCAATCAGTATGTGTTATGAACTCTCCTATTCTCTTAAAATGAAACAATATTCAAAAAAAGTATTTGATGTTCTCGGGTGTGCCGAAGCTCGTACCTCAGTCCCTCTTCTGCGGCCGAATTCCATTTTAGAGAGATGGAGTAAGGCACCACATCAGTAATGGAGAACTCTCTCACTTTGAATGCTGGTGACAAGATTGCACACTGAGGAGAAAAGGGGGAAAACATTAAAACAAAATTACTAAAGCACAAACTTCTCTCCTTGAAGTGGCTCAATTACTCTGACAGTCAGCAAAAAAAATCAATGTCCAGCCTGAATATTCTACTACCACTTAGAAAGGAAAGCATGATTAATGATTGTAAAGCTGTTACCAGCAAATGTTTGGTATTTTGAAACCTAATAATATATAAAAAAACACATTCAAATATGTTCAATCATAAATCCTGCATTAAAGGGGACCTATCATGCAAAATGCACTTTTTGATGTCTTTTATACATGAATATGTGTGAAAAACAAAACCCCTCTCTCTTTTCCTCCGTACCCAAATCTCTAAAAACGGGGGTACAACGGAGCTGATCCAGATTTGTGTCCGATATGATGCGATATAGGAAATGCGGACCCACGGCACTATCAGAAAGTTGCTATCAGAAACAATGCCCGACTGTTTTGGACGCAATATGGTCTCTGTTTACATTAGCAAGCATCGCTAACACTCAGAGCTAACCTGTACTGGAGAGAGTATGTGTAAAAAAGCAGGAAATAAAAAAAGGAATTCACCTTGTGGTAAACCCGCAAGAGAAAAAGCATTTGAGCTCCATACTGTTTCAGAAATAACCTTGATGTGGTTTGGAACATGATATGGTATTTAATCCCGGCAGAATTTAACTGTATCTGCCGAGTAATTCTGAGCATTAGGCATTAGCTTCCCCTCCTCTTCTTTTTTTTTTTTTCAAGCTAAGGACCCAGATCAGCAATTCTCTAACAGGCCTGAAATAGAGGGATATGAGGGATGTCTAAAATGCATGATGTGTTTGGTATTTTGAGCAAAACACATCATAGACATGTTTTTTATATATCTAAGACCCATAATATATGCCTAAAAATAGCATAATAGGAGACCTTTAAAAAATCCATGTTTGTCATATTCCACCATCACAGCTGTCAGTGAGTTAGTCTGCTGCGTGAGTAAACAACACTAAATGCAGGGTCTGGACAGGTGAGCCGTACCTGCAGAGCACAGCCTCTGGCCACGGCTTCATCTGCATTCAGGGTGGTGCTCAGCTCCTTCCCGAAGAATTTGCCGATTCGCTCCTTGATGGCTGGCATTCTGGAGGCACCGCCTACAATCTCCACTGCATAGATATCTTCCTTTTTCAGCTCTGGATGACAGGAAGCAGAGAGATCAACATTTTATTGAGTCAGAGTCAGAGTTATTGAGTCAGTGCTTTACATAGTGGTGATTCCTCTGTTTAACAACACTTTGAGTCTTCTTAAAAATTACATCAGGATTTTTCCTTTAAGTTAAATCATTTGGTGAAAGAACATTTTTCAAAAACATTTCCACTATATGTTTGTTAATTATGTGTGCTACAACTGCCCAGTATCAACATGCATATATAAAAGGAAATGAATAAAGGGAGGCCAGCATGATGCCAGTGTACAGAAGGAAAGGCTCTTTACTCAATGTGGGTGTGCACGTGATGACGGGGGTAGTCCAGCTGACATTCAAGTCAGATGTACTTACTGGTTTGTTCCATGACGCTGCGCAGGGGACCCTCTACTTTGGCCAGCAGCCCTGCACACATCTCCTCAAATTGACCTCTGGGGACACATGGTCATAGATTATTAATAGACCGAAATACACGGAGTACCTCTAAAAGTCATTTCTAATTATAGCCATGCATTTTTTTATTCGTGGTCATGGCAGCCTTATTTAATATTCTGACACTAGTCCATGGAAAAGAAAACTATACAAAATAAATGGAGCTGCCAGGTTGCTTTTTCTGGCCTGGATTGACATCATCAGTATCACACACAACATAAAGATTACCATTTTCTTAAAGCCTCATTTATGATTTTTGTCATACCTATAGTATTACAGTTTTACTTGTCTTAGTTTCTAAAATAAATATGCACCTCACCTGTTAAGTTTCCCGGAAACGTCGATGTCGTTCATGAAGCACTCGATGTTGAGAGGAAGGTCGGAGGAGTTGGCACTCATCAGCCTCTTGAGCTTCTCACACTCCTGGTAGAGTCGGACCAGCGCCCGGGGCTTGGTCTTTACGTCCAGCTTGTACTTTTTCCCAAACTCCTCGCAAAAGTGGTTGACCAAGATGTTGTCAAAGTTTTTCCCGCCAAGCTCTGGATCAAACGCTGTGGCCAGGATCTGCCAGGTGGAAGATATGGGTTAAATATTTAAAGGTATGGCAGGTAATCTAACTACTAGATGAGTATTTAATTCCAGTGTATAGCTGTATGTCTAGGATGGGTCAGGTGATGATAACTAAAAAATGGTGCTTAATATTTGTACTCATTCAATACATACAGTATGTTGGAATAAACAAACCGTACCTTATTCGCTATAAAAAAGTATTAAGGGTTAAAAAGTTTGGTACTTGAAAGATATCTGAAATGTTTCATCAATTCAATAAATAGCAGTGACGTTTAATTGTGTTTCTAGTGAATTCTATCACTTTTCAGGTTGCGCGCTACTTCAGTTGTAAGGTATTCCTATTTAAATGTTCTTTTCTGCTAATGAAATGTTTTAAAATAACAGGTTTCATCTTTCTTTTTACTTCAGAAAAATAATATGAACATGTGATTAAAAGAAATTACCCAACCTTTGGCCAAACCAGCCAAGAACATAGATCTGTAACATCGTAACCTGTTTTAAAAACATTCTCTCTGTGTGGACACAAATGATTCATTGCTCACCTTCAGCTTTCCCTTGTTGAATGCACAAACGGACACCTGGTAACCCGAGTGGCCCACATCCACAAACAGCACTATCCTGGGCTTCTCCTCTGGAGCTGGCAGGTCCTGCTTGTAGATGCCGTATGCAAGAGTCACTGCAACAAACAGGAAGACTCTGATGTTAGTTTGTGCTCAACTCAAAAGATAAACACAACAAAATACTGCAAAGGATGTCACTCAATGATGCTTTTGAGTTAGTTTAAAGATCAGCAGTTCAGTACAAAATGTCACTATAAATGTACATTTGTTATACTTGTCACATATGCTACAATATCTACGGAACCTACTGTAGATAGGTTCTGTTTTTGGTCCACTTTTATTCTCCATATATATCAACAGTTTAGGTGAAAATGTGGATGAAGCTACTTTACATTTTTATGCGGATGATACCGTGATGTATTGTGCAGGTCCCTCGATTAAGGAGGCGGTTGTTAAATTACAGGCTGTTTTTAACATTATTCAGACTCAGCTCTCTGAACTTAAGCTTCTTTTAAATGTTGATAAAACCAAGGTAATGCTTTTTTCAAAAGCTAAAAAGACACCAGAGCCTGTTTTAGATATTGTTACTATGCAAGGACAAGTACTAGAAGTGGTTGCCTGTTATAAATACCTAGGTATCTGGCTTGATGATTGTCTTACTTTTAAACTTCATGTCAATAACCTGCTTAAAAAGCTGAGGGTTAGACTAGGTTTCTTTTTCAGAAACAAGTCCTGTTTCTCACTTGAGACCAGGAAAAGGCTAGTCACTGTGACCTTTTTACCTGTGCTGGACTATGGTGATTTGTTGTATATGAATGCACCTGCCCATTGCCTGAACAAGTTAGATGCCGCCTATCACAGCGCACTGAGATTTGTCACAAATTGTAAAGCACTTACACATCACTGTACCCTGTATGCCAAGGCAGGTTTGCCATCACTTACTGTACGGAGGCTCAGTCATTGGTACACGTTTATTTATAAAGCTTTGTTGGGTAAACTCCCGTATTATATCTGCTCTCTGATAACACAGAGAGTTGTAAGCAGCTATTGTCTGAGATCGCATGATGTAGTATTGTTAGATGTGCCAAGAGCAAGGACTGTCTTAGGTAAGACAGCTTTTATGTGCGCAGCTCCACTTGCTTGGAACAATCTTCAGCAAGAATTGAAACTGAGCAATCTCATTCCTTTGCATGTTTTTAAAGCTAGGCTAAATGAAATGCTCGTTGATACTATGGGTACATGTAAATATAATGTATGATGTCCTTTATTGTTTTATGTTTCATGTGGAACCTATATGCTGCAGGTCTCCCTTGAAAAAGAGATCTATGATCTCAATGGGACCAATCTGGTTAAATAAAGGTTTGAAATGAAATGAAATGAAGATATAATTTCATGGCACAATGTTATTATTTCTCAAATAACCCAATAAGTAGTTAAATTGGCTCAGATGCTACTCGTCCTGGATAGAGATAATGTACCTGCAGTGGAGTCATTCATTAGTCGAAGACAGTTGAGGCCAGCAATCTGCGCTGCATCCATGACAGACCTTCTCTCTGGGTCAGTGAAATAGCTTGGTACCTGGGAAGAAAAAAGAATGTCGATGAATAATGAAAATGTAAGGCATTAATGACATGCCAAACATATCCTTTATTCCTTCTGTGTGAATGATCACTTTGATGCATCACAATATGTCTGGATAACGTTGCCCTGTTTGTTTCTCTCTGTGCTCTCTTTGAAGAAACTAGAAAGGGCTAATTTTAGCTATTGGCAACAGTAATAATAACATGCAAGTCATCTCTAGGGCTGATGCATACTGTGGACCAGTGAAACCAGTGAGAGTAAAAGCCTCTCTGTGTGAGGTCCGTAACGTTACATAACAGATGCTGTTAGTGAGTTCATATAGTGATCACAGTAAGAAACACAACCATCTCGTTATTTTCCAACAGGGTGCATGAGAGGAAATAAAGCTTTTAGAAAAGCCATCTGGTGAAGTGCTTGGAGCTCAAAATGTCACACAAACATTTATACATCGAGGAGACAACTCTCACTGGACATTTTTATTAAAAAAACTACTTGAAAATGCAACTAAATGCCATTAATAGATGTCAAAAAGGAAGGGTGGATATACAATGAACTATAACACTTAAAGGGGACCTATCATGCGAAATGCACTTTTGTACGTCTTTTATACATGAATATGTGTCCCCGGTGTTCCAGGGAACTCACCAAGTGTCAGAAAACACAACCCTCTCTATTTTCCTCCATACCCAAATCTCTAAAAAAGGGGCTGCAACGGATCTGATCAAAACTGATCCAGATTTGAACACTTTACTGACGTCAGTAAAGTGGCGCTACGGCTAATGGGCCAACTCTCCACCTATCAGGGGAATGTGGGGTTGGGCCACGGCCGGCCATTGCCGCTCAAAAGCGCTGGAGACGTTGTAGTACATATGCCAGGCCTGTAAGTGGCGCTGTAGTCTGCCACAAAAGCAGCGAAGAAGACTTCCCGCACGTGGTTACCATGGTTACCCTTCTGTTTATTCTCCGCTGTGGCTTTTTTTCTCCCTCCCCGAGGCAAGCGTTTGCTCCCGCTGCTGTAATTCAATGCAATCCCTCCCCGTCGAGGCAAGCACTGTAATTCTCTCCGGTTAGTCCACCAGCAGATGACAAACACCCACCTCTCCGCCTCTTCCAAGGAACGAGGGGACCGTGCGGCAGTTTCAGTTAGGTTTTCTTTCGCCGGTCAAGATGTCCGTTAAAGTTTAAATCTTCCGGACAAAATTAGAAAAGTGCCGGTCAAAGGTCTTCTTTGTTATTTATTGAGCTTTAAAACAAATGAATAACGACTCTATAGGCCTATAATAATATAATAAAACACGGACGGAGATCTATTTTTCTCCCCCTCTTCTGACTTAATCAGAGCACGGCTCCCCTCTCCTGCAGGGGGGGCGTGGTCCGCTGCAGCTCACAGAATCAGCCCCGTAGACAGCAAACAGCAAATAGAGCGAAATGAGGCATGGCTAAAATGCATGATCCGTTTGGTATTTTGAAAACAGAAACTTATAAATATACCTTATATAGGTATGGCCCTACAATATATCATTTAAAGATAGCATGATAGGTCCACTTTAAGTACAGGTCATTGCATGAGGTAAAGTTAATAAAGTAAACCTCATCAGTCCGAGGTCATATCTTTAAATACACTATGTGCAGTGATCCAACAAGTAACATAACACCTCCTCAGACAGTTGATGCCAACTAGATAATATATGTTTGGACAAGGCACGAAGAAAAATAATGCACTATACTCTATTCTACAATAAAGTTTTATAGATTTTCAGGCACCCTGCTGAAGTGGAGAAAGCACTGCAGGTTTCTCGAGGAATCCTTACCGAGATGACACAGTCCACAACTGGTTTCTTCATTGCACTTTCAGCAGTCTCCTTCAGTTTGGTCAGCAGCATGCCGGTGACCTGCTCGATGCTAAACACTCTTTCCTCCTCCATGTACATCACCTACAGTCAGGGAGAATCAAGTACACTATTAAATTGAGACAATGCAGGAATTTTACAATCTTTAAAGGCTGTTTTCTCAAAAGTCAGAAATGTCCACTTCAGTAGCACTAAGATACCCCCCAAACTACATTCCTATCTGTATTCTAAAGGTTTCTTTAAAGAGGACTTTGTTCATATTTAATGCAGGGATTTGGTTTCTGTGAAGGCCGTCAGATATATGGAGTGATTAAGAGGTGTCCAAAATGTCCTCCGTAAAAACCATTGACTCTATGAGATAACAATTGTTGAACCTGGCTATATCTTATGTTCACATTTCTATTCTGTAAATGTATGCAATTTAGCACATTTATAATAAGATAATGCCTAATTTACATATTTTATTTCGGGAAAGTGAATTTGCCTTAAAAAACAACTGTCTTAGTGTAAGTCAGGGGTCGGCAACCTTTTTGATATGAAGTGCCATTACAAAAACAAAACAATTATCAGCGTGCCGACGATCGTGAATTATCAACGGGAGGGGTGAGGAGCTCGGCGCTCGTGAACTGTCAACAGGAGGGCGGGGGGAGCCTCGCTGCGGGGAAGCAGTGTGTGGACCTGTCAGCGCAACTTACAGGATGCCGAATTTAACAAACAAATTTAAATAATTGGTTTAAACGGCATAATAATAAGGACGATCGTCCGTTCTGTGATTCTCCAGAACACACAGATGGCCAGTCCGCCCCTTTGTAGCATATTATTTCGATGAGAGATGAGCAGATCGCCACTGGGCTTTCAACTAAAGACACAGCCACGCAAAAACTGCAGCATTTATACAGCTCCTTATGGGTACTGCAATTTGTGAAGTGCTTTCCTCTGTGGTGAAACGATCAGCACTGCACCACGGAGGAAAGCGGCAGAAAGTCGCCTGGAGTTAAAGAGAGCGGGGCTGCGTTGCGTGCATGGCTTCCTTCTGCAGGTAACGGGGAGACGCGCTCTGGCGGCGGTCTCGTTCAGGATCCGAAAATAACATTTTAATATTTTGCACTTATTCTAAGTGTGCCACTGGTTACGGTGCCAGGGGTTGCCGACCACTGGTGTAAGTAATCAACTAGGTAAGTTTTATGGTGATTTATTTATTGGCTCAGAATGTTACCCTATTCATCTCTTAATATTGTTGACATTTCTTATTAATAACTTTATTTATATAGCTATAAATATGACTGTTTTATTGAAGGATTTAAACAGAGTTGAAGCTCATAAAACAAGCACTGTAATACTGTACCGTAACCATATTTGTGTATTAGCACTTATATACTAATAAAGGACTGGCTTATCTAAAGCTAGTTGAGTAGCACTTGAAATGTTTTGGCTCTATGAAACCTGATGTACTTATATGATTCTGTTTTCTTCAAGTTTGTATCTTCTTGGTCGAATGCACTTATTGTAAGTCGCTTTGGATAAAAGCGTCAGCTAAATGCAATGTAATGTAATGTGTATATAATATGGAAATATGGAATCTTAAAACTCCTAATCCAAGGACTGTTTTTGTGGGCAACAACAGGTCGATGCAATCTTCTCTTGTCATTTCTTCTGATGACTCACATTAATAATCTCCACAGGGACACCAAAGCATGCTGGGCTGTGAGTTTGCAGTGTGCAAGCCAGGCACTGTCATATGTGTACTTTTCAAGACCTTTGAGAGGGTTTTGAATCTTACACTATCCATCTGATGGCACCAAAAGAACATTTTGTTTATATTTATGAATTCAGTTAATTGATTGCAAGTTTCCTATATAGTTATTACTTACCTTTATGCCGGTGGATCCAGAGGGCAACTGTGCCAGATCATACACCAGGTTAGACTTGGCTGCCTGGACATAGGGGTCTGAAAACGCCCTGCCATGGAATTGCTTGAAGCCTTGCACTGTGTTCTGACAGTTGCTCACCACCTGGATGTGATAAAGGAGGTTAAAGAAGAGATAATAAATACAAATGAGATATAAGTTTCCACTTTTTGGGATTTAATTACAATTAACTCAAATTATGTTATTACAAATGAATTGATCTTACCTGGCTCTTTGCAGCTGCTCCTATAGATCGGTTACGTGGTCCATATGACACAAATGAGCTGGAAGAAAAAAAAACAGAAATGTTAAAGGTGGGGCAGGTAATTTAGGAGAAACCAGCTCGAGTGCGCTAGAATTTGAAAATACGCAACCGGAAAAAATCTGCCACTTCCTTACAGAGCCCCTCCTCCAACACACACATGACCAATGAGGGCACGAGATAAGTTTGTGCACAGATGGAAGGCTGACAGGCAGGTATGCCATCCAGTTATTTTAGCCGGGCCGGCTAAAATGATTGGTCGTGCTTTTTACAGCGCTGCGGCTTCCACAGATGAATTTTTTTTAATGTATTTATTGTCAAAGCATATAATATATTCATTGCTATCGGGATGTTAAGAGCATTCCATGGAATATAACAAAAAGTGTTTCTGAAATAAATTACATACCCCACCTTTAAGCTATGGCACACATGATATTAAGAGCAAGCAGTGTACGTGCGTTGTATTTTCCAGGTATTTGGGGAAACATCCTCAATCAAGAGGATGGTACTTGCTAGTTCAGTTATTACATGGTCTCATGCCTATACTGAGGCCACCCCACAATAAACTGGACCAACTGTTTCTTATGTCAGCAGTAGCAATGCTATCAGTTTGTTTGGGTTGGCATAATTGTAACATTTTAATATGCGTTTTCTTAAGATATTTGCCAACAAATGTAGCTCATGTGGAACTGAAATCTTGTGTCTGCATTTAAGTTTGTTTAGATCCAGCTCTTACAGTTAACAAGGTTATGTATAAACAGTCGGACATGATGCGACCAGTCAACTTGTATCCAAGCGGGATTTGGTCTCAACAGGCTTGTCATCAAAATCTCTTTCAAACACAATGTCAATGGTGATCGTCAACACACAAATGTAGTTTGTGATGTCAAAAGAAAGTCAACAAGTTTTATGATGTGGTGTTTTTTAAAGGTCCCATGTCATGGCCATTTCTACTGATCATATTTCCATTGTTGAGGTCTACTAGAATAGATTTAAATTGTGCAATTTTCCAAAATCACATTGGTTTCTCATACAGCATCTCTGTATAGTATGTGTATTAACCAGGTATTCACTCTCTGTCCTAAACGGCTTGTTGGAGCTCCTGCCCCCCCCTCCCTGTGAGCCGAGCGTGCTCTGATTGGTCGGGACGTTGCGAGGCTTGTTGCTGCGAGGAGCGGACAGGTTTCCGGGTTGGCGATACAGCGAGAACAAGCGAAACTCATCCTGAGCACACACAAACACTCACAGCCGAAGTAAAAACAATAAGTGTGGCTTGATATTGAGTAAGAAAAAGGTTTAGAACGCTGTGAGAATGGGTCTGCGGAGAGCATTTCTCCGCGATCCCAACTCGTCTATTACCAGCGTTCAGGGAGCTCTATGCAAGTCAATGGGGACTCCCTGTTAGTTAGCCAAGGGATCCTGGTGTGTGAGGTGCTCCGCAGATTGGTCCATTTGGGCCAATCCGGTCATTTGTTGTTGATTTGGGTATTCACACGTCACAGAACCCAGGAAGTAAACAATGGAAAATGAGAAATCTCCAACGAGGCGTTTTGGGGCAGCATAGACAGGTATTTTCTGTGTTGAGTTTTACTCGCTACAGGGTGTACTTTGAGGGTTTTTGACTCTGCAGACCGTTTACATGCATAAAAACCTTCATAACACACAAGGGGACGGGTAATAACCGGAAAAGCATGACATGGGCCCTTTAAACCATTTGTACTGATTTGAAGGGTAAAACACAGGGACATAAGCATTAAGCACTGTACTACATTAGGTTAATGCTTATCAAATGTAATGTTTATGCCACAGCTGTGCAGAGTGCACAAAAAGAGTACAATCATTAGATCAGTTTAAATAAGATAAACCTTGTTCCCCCTAGGGATAATGGATTTTATATTCCCCATAAAAAAACAGCAAAACTAAACCAAATTAAATCAATGGAAAAACATTATTTCTGGTGAGATAACACGTTTACTTAAAAAATAGGATACAGTTTACCTTGTAGTTAATAAGAACGAATATTGTTGAAGATATAAACAGTCTAATTTACAGCACCTGTACACAGGTCAACACCTTACAAACGACCCCTTGAAAAAAAAATTTCATTAGGATATTGTAACAACACCAAAGCCATAGTGGGTACACAGTGTGCTGTAGCAACCAAATGAGCTGAATTCAAACAATTTATTTATTTTGTAAGTACATATTATAAATGGTATAAGTCAATATCTTTAAGTATACATCATAAAACACTTTAATTTAACTCAAACTTGCTAGAATATTCCAACAAGCGGCTGGCTGCTGTCGTCATCGTTGAGAACATAACTGAGGCGCACAGTTTGTCACACGGGACACACCGGTTGGTCGGAGCTTTCGCCTCCAAGACGTGAACAACAGCAATTAGAACGGGGTTAACACCGCCCGCTCTTGTTCACCGGGCAACCAGGGTCTGTTCTCAAACAATACAGTAACGGTAAAAGAGAAAAACTGTAAGCTTATAGCTAACTAGCTAGCTCCTTAAGGCTCCATTGGTGGTCGGAAGACACGCTGTAAGGATTGTTTTATATGGTTTGCTTTAACGTTAGAATCATTGACAATACTGACTTTCTAATACGGATAGGTAGATTTAAAAGCCAGGGGGATACACGTTTGGCTAGCAAGTCAGTAAAAGCAGCATTCACGTGTATTATGACCGGTGAGATACATACAAGCGTTTAGAAAATAACAACCCTCTGTCCTTTGTAGCTGTCCTCTAAGAATTCCAATAAATAATATACGTGTTTAAGGTACTTACGGTGTGCATCTGTCGCTGTACTCATTAGCGACAGTCTCGATCCCTCCGGCTCGGGCTACAGCTACATAGCAGCTTTGAAAGCCCAAGTCAAATCCCACCACTGACATCTTCTGTGATACGATTGTCCTCTGGCTATAACAACGTTATCTACAGTTCGACCTATACTAAATAAAACAAACGTTGAGCTCTGAAAATATGTTAAAGCCAGGAGAGGTAGTTGTGGTGAACTGTTCTTAAGTAAAGCTACTTCTATACATAATCCACACCGCTGTCTATTACCGGTGTCTCTGATCTGTGCTGGCAGCCTGCAGCAGCAATGTGGTCTAACGGACTTCTCGTGGGAAGTCATCGCGAGATTTGAGTCGTTCTAGATAAATCTAGACCACTCTGGACTTTTCTATAAACATGTGGAGGTTTTCTCTCTGATTTAAAGGTTTCTACAAGCCTTGGCTTAATTCTATTATTTACCACATTGTTGCTTTATTTTAAATAAAATGATATTATATTTGATATATTGTAGTTCCTTTGTGTTCATTCTGTTATAAAACATACACATACCATTCAACACAAAACAACCCAACAAAAAATAAGAATCTAATGGAATAAATGATTTTGAATTGTTATCATTCACATTTCACATTGAAGCATGACACTGTTAAACAGGGAATGCAACATTTAGGATGATGTTTTTTTTAAAGATGACAATAAAATGTTGTCCAAAGAATGTCTGTGCAGGAGGTTCATCCTACATTCCTCTTTTTAAATTAACCAAAATCTGAAGGATGTACAATATTTAAATACCCTCCTTTCATGCATTTTAAAATACAAAATAAGTATGACATGTTTGAAAACAATGATATGAATATAGCTCTTGACAAAAGTAACCATGGGTGGGTGTAATGATAATTGAGTAGTAGGAGGGAACATTATGTTATTGACAGAGAACCAAATGCTCTGTATAATGTTTGCACACTATTACAATTATTCTGTGATTGTTACATTATTTTCCTATATTTAATCTGGTGTGTTTGATTTTGTATAATCCCAATAAAGTAATTTGCACTGGTGAAAAGGGAATAACATATGTGCAGTACACCATTGTTGTCGTTAGGGGAGCACTCATTAAGGCTTCCGGAAATACGTACTGGTCTGACACCAAAGAAGAAGAAAAAGTAAACTGCAACATGGCGACTCCCATGCACAGAATAATAGCTAGGAGGCAAGCGTGAGTATACTTTATATTACTTTGTATAAATACACCCTTTTTTATTGTTTGGTGAACACAAATTACATTGCGCTGGTCTAGATTTGTGTTAAATAAAGGAGATCAAATACGAAAACAGCAGGGCTAAATAGAGCAGCAGCGCCCCGCGGTCTTTCTCTACAATGCATTGTTATTACTACCGTCGGAAGGTTTTCTGTCCCGTAATCAACAAATACCTTGAGATAATTCAGTTGATTCGAGATAATAGTACTAGATACGTCAAGGAAGTATATCTTGGATCATTGGAATAGTATAGTTACATTTTAAATTAGTTAATATACCATATTGTTCTCTCATAGACCCATACTACTTTGTGGAGGTATGGGGAACCGCAAGCCAACACTAGATATATATATTAGATAGATAGTTCTGTTACATTCAGTGCAAGAATTACAACATTTAAAAATAGAATAAAAGAAACATTAAAAGCAAATGCATACATATTCACCGTAGATCACACATAGTTCAGAAGAGTATCTAAGAATACACACTATAAAATATACAGAATAAATAAATACTCTAATACCAATATACTAAAGGGCCAGACACATATAAACATAGTGTACTATATATATTTAAACATTTTGCACAGAAGCTTTTAATTAAAAGTAAAATATATCCTGTGAGGAAGTGTACAGTAAGTAGGCTATACTATGTATGTACAGTATGTGCAAATTGTTCATTATGATACAGAAGATAGCCATAATAATTGGAAAGTGTTTATCGTTGCAATACTCAACTAGATTTAAAAATATACACTGTAGAATGTTGGTAGGCATTACCAAAATGATTGATGATTCAACCATACAACATTTTCACCAGCTACAAAGCTTTACTTTGCTGAAAAGTAGTTATTGGCAATTAATCATTACTCGACTTGAAACAAGGAAATGTAGCTGCGACATTGTCTGTTCATGTCTATCCTAATTCAGTCTGTTATTTTACATACAGGGATGCAAACAAACAAAGTGTTCGTTGCCAGAAGTGTTTGGAGCTGGGACACTGGACATACGAATGCACTGGGAAGCGGAAATATGTGCACAGACCATCAAGAACAGTTGAGATGAAAAAGAAACTGAAGGAGAATGAAAACAAACCACCGAGCATCCCTGGGTAAGGATATCCATCAGAAAACTGCATAGAAACAGAAAGGCAGGATGATTCATTTTATGCTACTAAAAACACAAGGGATTGTCAAATCCCTAAGGCACCCAGTGGAGTTCCTTTCAGAACCTGAAGTAAATCAAACTTGTCAATCTAGAGACATACTTTTCTCACTACCATTGCTGTGAGAGCATGTGAACCCAGCATTGTTCAGGTTAAACAGATCCAAAAAATGATTGAGAAAAGTATTTGCCTGGCATTATTCTTTATACAGAAACTAATACAGAAGGAAAATGTGTCAATCAGTCATACCTTAGTGATGACTGAATTAATGAAACCTTGTGAATTAAGCCTTAGGAAGTTTTGCTTTTTGCTCTCTCTTATTGTGCTGAAAAATATTTGAAGTTTTATAGTTTCAAACACAATGACACCTGGTGGCTTGCAAACCGTATAGAAGCTACCTAAGACGGGCTGAAGCACGACACAACACCTATCTGTTATGACTAGTTTTAGTCTTGTGTGTGCAAAAACAGTTCAATAAGCCTACATGTTGTTTTTAACTGTGCTGCATTACATTTAGAGGGTGTTGCAATATATTGCATGACATCATTTATCAATGCATAAACCAAAAGTTGTTCATGCAAAATATTTTATCTGACAGAAAACCTTAAATATTGATGTCATTTAGTCCAGCTGTCATTGCCAGCTTATTTGTTTTAATATCATGGTCTATATTCATCTAACATTAATATGAATCACAATGTGATGTGAAAACGTTATATTCATTTATAAATTAACAAAGTGGAAATGTTGTACTTTCTTAATTATTTTTTTCTTTTATCTGGCTAATGTGTTTATCACAAGTATCAAAACACTTTCAAAATTGAATCAAGCCCTTTCAGTGATGTTGTATGCTTAGGCCACATAAGTAACATTGTATTCTTAATTTAACACAAGCTCCTACAAAATGTATTAAAACATTCACTTCACATGAATGGTGAAACGAGTTTTGGAAGAACTGTGTCACCCCCCCCATCTCTACTCTACTTTCTAAAACTGACCCATAAGCAAAGGACAATGCTATTGCTTTATATTGCCATTTAGTGGATCAAATTTAAATTACAGCCAAACACTTCAAAAGAATACTGCACATTATTATCAAGATTTTTTTTTATGTTCAGATATGTCACTTTGAATAAAAAAAATTATGTAACAATTAATCCCATTACACAATAAGCACTGCCTCTCTTTTCATGAAAGCTATTGACATAGCCAATTTTAAAACTACTACAACACATATTACTACTTATCACTTGAGTAACAGGCCAATTCAATCTCAATGTATTGACTAATAATAATAATATCATCTCATTAAGGCTTTTATTCTCTTTACAGACCTGGAACAGAAGGGCCTAGCGAAAAGAAAAAGAAGTAAGTCAAATGTATATTTAACTGAAGTTTGAGATGATGAATATTTTGACTCCAGACAATATATATTTTTGATGTTAAACAAGTCCCAGATGTACGATACGCTTGAATAATATACCTACAGTTTGTGAAATATTTTGATACTGTAGCAATCTTCTACATCTTAATATAAATACATGTGTTTAGTATCTACATTTTATTGTGTAAATCTTGTTATGCTAATAACATGTTAATGTTGCATCACTCCAAGAGCCCTTCAATTCTTCTGATGGTGGGGGGTCAATTTGTTTTGGTCATTCACACATTGTCACACAAGGCTTGATACGGTCACATGATGAGTTGTAGTCACATGAAGGCCCAATTCCAATCCACCCCCTGCCTACACACTACCCCTCCGTTCGTGCGGAGGGTCTGCCACATTAAGTGCTGTTCCAAACCAACGAGTGTAGAGGGGGAGTGGGTTATCAAGCCCTCAAACAGCGAGTCTGCATCGGTGCGGACTTCACCTGCTGCCCTACCTGACCGGACTCAACGCTGTGTGTGTCCGTCAGGAAACAAGCTGTTTACAAACAGTTCCTGCAAACATTCACTGATAAATTGCGATGTTAACAACCTCATGATAACCTCATATTTTTTTTACTTAGGATCATACCTGTGTTTAGTATAAAGTTGTGTATATTTACAGACTGTTGCAAAAACTAAGAAGCTTATAAACATCAGGTTCAAAACTAAAAGAGCTTTACAAAAAAGTAACACAATTAAAGATGTTTGGAGTTTTATTTGAGTTATTTATTTTATTTTTTGTCCAAGAGATGCTGATTTGAAACCGTTGTTACATACAGTTACGGCATTTCCTGTTTCTGGCGGAGAGAGGGGAGTTTGTTCCAAAGCTTGCTGCTGTATTTGCACCCTCCATCTGACAGGAGGGAGCCTCGTTGAGCTGCGAGTGTCACTCCGCCACGGAGTGGGTAGGGTGTGGTTTGGAATTGGACCGAAGTCATGTCAGAATCCTGGTCACGTAAATGTAGGTGATCTGGGAGTTTTTAGGAGGGATGTCGTAGTGACCCTGGCCCAATCCCAAACCACTCCCTCGACCCTACCCCTCCGTGACGGAGTGAACTCCGTCTGTAGCCACACTCGCAGCTCAACGAGGCTCCCTCCTGTCAGATGGAGGGAGTAAATACAGCGGCAAGCTTTGGGACGGCCTCCCCTCTCTCCGGCAGAAACAGGAAATGCCGTAACTGTATGTAACAACGGTTTGAAATCAGCATCTCTTAGACAAAAAATGTAAATTAATAACTCAAATAAAACTCCAAACATCTTTAATTGTGTTACTTTTTTGTAAAGCTCTTTTAGTTTTGAACCTGATGTTTATAAGCTTCTTAGTTTTTGCAACAGTCTGTAAATATACACAACTTTATAATAAAATGCACACATTTACCTTTTTCTAGACTAACCACAGGTATGATCCTAAGTTAAAAACATATGAGGTTATCATGAGGTTGTTAACATCGCAGTTTTTAACAGCGTGTTTCCTGACGGACACACACAGCGTGACTCCGGTCAGGTAGAGACCGGTCTCAAGTCAGCACCGCTGCAGACTCGCTGTTTGAGGGCTTGATAGCCCACTCCCCCTCCACACCGCTCCACACTTGTTGGTTTGGAACAGCACTTAATGTGGCGGACCCTCCGCGCGAACGCGCAAACGGAGGTGTAGGGGGCGGTTTGGGATTGGGCCCCTGTGATCAAGTGGATTTTATATGACCTTTGCAGCGTTACTATTGATTCAAACTGTAGAAGTCTAGATGAACATTCTTAAAAGAAGTGTAATGAAACTGCTCCCTCTAGTGGAGACAATTGATGACAGTTTGCTGAAAACTGCTAACACAAGCAGTAAAACAATTGAGTAATTTTTTTCTCCTATTGAGTCATATTACAATGTCTGTTGTTTCTAATCCTAAATATCACAGCTTAATATAGCAGCTGAATGGAATCTTTCTGTCATTCATTTTTGTATTATTCACATCTCTGTATTTTCTACCACAAAATGTCAAAATGTATTCCGGTAAAAGTCCCATACTTTTAATTGGGAAGGCTTTATTTTACCAGCCTAGCATATGAGCCCCTATGTTTCATTATCATTCCCAAATTATTCATTTTTGTAGACCTTTTTCACAACAGGCCTTTTGACTTGTGGCAGAAAGGCGCAGGTGGAACTAATGACTTTAACGATGGCTTGGTCACAGCTGTGATGCAAACACTGTAGATTAATTAATAAGGACATTTGCTACACTTGTGTGTGCCACGTGAAACTCTCTGCTGTTACAATGGACCTTTTCAACTTTAAGGTCCCTCCACATCTTCCCCCTGGTCATGTGTGCTGTCGCCTCCCACACATCAATTATTTGCATCATCACAGGCTGAAAATTGTCTATCTATAACTTACCAACAGGTATTCGGTGTATAATTGAGCAGTGAGGACTTTATCTTCTCTATAGACAGTTTGGCTCCAGCATAAATTCAGATGTTGTGTCATGTGCAGTTGCTTTTTAGCAGGCCATCCTAGTGTTTTGGTAGGAAGGGCAGATGGTGAATGGGGATGAGATGTGTGAGACATCTCAACAGTGACTGTTTCGCTTAATGGTGTTGTTCCCCATTCATTAAAGACAACAACTCATTGATAAAGCTGTAAAGGGCAAGACTAGTCAGATACTTTTTCATAAGTGTGAGTACACTGGTCTTTAAAACATTTAATAAGAAAAAAGTACTTGTAAAGGTAACTTTTTAGATTTTCCCGCATTTTTTCAGTTTGAATAATAGACCTAACAAAAATTCAGCAGGTTTGAACATGTCATAGACATCATGCCATTTCACTTTTAAAGTAGACAAACCAAGCATGTCAGTGTGGCTGAAGAACAGTCAACCAAGTGAAAAGCCTTTCAACATCACTCTACATATTCTTTCTCTCCTCCTTTGTAAACTGGCACAACTACAGCCCGACTGTAAAAGTGTTAGACCTTTTATAACAACACTTGCTGTTCTGTTTACAGTATTCATGTTTTTCTTTTGTGCTCCGCCACTCGCTCTCAGGGTTAAAGATGGTAGCGGCAGCAGCAGTGATTCAGCCAGCTCCTCAAGTGACTCATCGTCAGACAGCAGTGACTCCTCCAGCTCCTCTTCAAATGACAGCGACAGCAGCGGGGACAGCGACGATGACAGCTCTTCCTCATCTTCTTCGTCCACTTCATCCTCAGACAGCTCAGACTCAGGAAGTGGCAGCGGCTCAGATCAAGGACCTCCAAAGAAGAAGAAAAAGAAGAAATGAACAAATGTTAGAATAAATGTTTTTTCTCTAAGTAAATTGAAGCTGTCCACTTGAATCCCCCCCCCCTCCCCCCTCCCTTTCTTCTCATAATTGGATTGATCCAAAGGGAAAGGACACCTTTAGGGCTGTAATAGTGCTTCTACAGTTTAGGCAAAAAGGACAATTTGATTATTTTGTGTCAGCCATTTTCTAATTTTTTTCTTTTCGAAATGCATATCTCTCTTCCTGTTACTTTATTGATATATTTTCCCACGTTTCTATATGTACTTAGCACATTTTTAATTCTGAGAACATTTATGAAAAGAATCGTGTTAAATTTGTGATTTTGTACTAAAGTTTATTTTTCGTCAAATTTAACTGCCACCGCACAACCTCAAAAAAGTAATGCCGTATCTGGTATTCAAAAGACATTGAACCTTTCCAAGGATAGAAAATAAAAGTCTGTTCAATTTTAAATTAGTTTTGAAGTTGGAAAGTCTTGTTTCACTGTAAAATAAACTTGGCTTGGTTTTCTTTTTTATGGTCCTTGCTCAATTTGATATTGTAAAATATTTTACTTTGCTAAAGACAAACACATTATAATGACTTTACTTATGCATTTCAGAATAAAATGCCAAAAATGGTCTTTTTGTTAACTGATTTACACAAATTATATTTTCAAAAACAGCATATATATCTGTGCCAAGCAATGTGGTTATAAACGGTGTCTCCTTGGAAAATATAAAAAGTGTTGTGATTTATTTGCACTCATGAATAGGCTGCCTTTTTGGTGATGAAGATGAAGAATTTGGGCGTGGCAGACCACAGGACTGTCCCTCACACCGCTGCCATAGTCATTAGCATATGTTGTGTACATCTTGATATACTTTAAGTTCAAAGAAGTTTTTAATCGAAAATGCTAATAATCAAAAGTTTATATCCCTTAATGTGCTTGATCAAAAAAAAATCTGGGGAAAAGTTAATTGATGGCTATTTTGTAGAAATGAACTCGTAAGTATCCAACATAGACTAAATTGATCATTAAACTCATCAAGTCATAAATATCAGCGAAGAGAGCACACAAAACACTGAATGTAATTGCAGAAACTTAGCGTCACAAAGTAATCATTAATGGATGGGAGAAAAGTATGTGTAAAACTTATTTTTTTATAGAAATTAATATTGAAATGTACTTACCAAATCAACACAGTAACTTTAAATTAAAAAAATAAGTAAATAGATATGGTAATAAATACATTATATCAATATAATAAACATAAAATAAGTCTTAAATCGTTCCTTAAAAGTCGAATTACAAGTTAAAAAGTATTATTTTCTTTAAAGATTTCATATATTTGACAATCAAACCAACGATATTGGGGTTACATTTTGTATGTAACATAACCACCTATTATCCATAGGTTTACCATGAATGCGATGTTTATGAATAATATCCTCAATGTGTAATTACACTTTTAAAATCATGTTTGACTTTAGGAATAGTTTTACACAGTATTATCTTTCAATCAAGTCGAAAATGATTTCCGTCCTGACCGTCAAGTTAGTGCAACCTTTGCGTCACACAAATGTTGCATTCAATCATATGGGATTTAGCAAGATCATTAATCGTAGCGCTGTCACAGTAAATATTACAATTGTATACTACCTTTAAATCAACTTCCTCATCGGTGCGTTTTCAACTCAGTAAACTGATAATATGTGTGCTGTCAAAATAATAATTCCTCTAAATTAAAAAAATGTTACACTCCGATAATGTTTACAAAGGTGGTTGCCTTGAGATATTTCTGACAGCAAGTGAAGGCAGCACCGCTTGCTGCCATCCATGCATCCAGTCCTGTCTGTGGTACCTGCTGGCTACTTAACTTAGCTAGCAGCCTTACCTATCAGTTACTTCTGTTCAGTAAGAATAAAATGAACGACAGACAAAATGAATTTATTTAGTTTTCCACTCGATGCGCAGTTGCGTTTTAAGGAAAAGATGGATAGCTTCCATTCGGTTTTTCTATTTTAGCTGTTATAGCATTTTGCTGAGTCCATTTTGCGTGTAACTGGAAGTGGAAAAGACAAAGAGAAAAGAGCTTTCCAATAGCTAGAATGGTTTGGGCCTAAAAGGAAGACAAGAGGTAAGGATGGCGAATATCAAAAAATACGTCATTTGGTGATTAACTGTACTCGGTGGTAATCTGACATTTTTAAAGAATGTTAATTTAAAATTCTGCAGAAAATTTCAATGGTTTCATAGCTAGCTAGTCGCTAGCCTAGCCCTAATACGCTAACATTATGCTAAGGCAAAGATGCAGGTATTCCTCTAGGTAGCGTGTTAGCTTCTTGCTAAACGGTCAAACGTTGTAGCTACACAAACATTGATTGTGGGAATGATACAAATTCCTAATGTTACTTTTTATTCGTGTGGTGGCTTCCTGTCCTCGAAATGTAGGGCTAACACCGCAGTGGTAGTGATCATGTTTTTGTTCATGTTATATTGGCTAACAGGTCATTACGTCTCATGTTAATGTTTTTCTGTGTTTAGCCAAGTTTGACATGCCTTACATGCATACGTGTTATAACAATTAGTACTTTGTTTTATCGAGACGGAGGTTATTATGTGATGTTCTTCGAGTGAACAGAACAAACAGCTGCTCCTCGCAGTTTGTTTATCATGCACATAACTGTTATCCACTTCTCAAATCTAACTATAGGTTCATTCTAAACGATGGACAATTAAGAAACGAGCAATACATATTTTACTTGGGTGCATTTTCTCTGCCGATAACAGCACAATTTAACAAATTCTAGGCCCACAACATTCATCTTTTTTCATAGTGACGAGCCAAAACTTTTGGATTGTTGTCCTGTAGCCTCCGCACATCGTATAATGAATGTATTATAGCAGATTGCTCTCGGTCCCACTCCTAACTGTCTTCAGTCAGAATCCTAATGACTAAAAAGTATATATGTAAAATAGGAAGGCAACATAATAGCTTATGTGTCGAGCTTTGGTCTCGCAAAGGGACAGCTGATATGCTTTTCCAGGAAGCCATTTTACGTGCCACAGTTGGGGGAAGGGCCAGAAAATGCATCATAAGTCCACAGTTAAGTAACAATTAGGAGTACCACTGTCAATGTGTGTGTATCAAGAAGGTTCAGTTGACACACATGGAGAAAATGACATCGCTATCAGCTTGTTCATCTTGGTTCACACATCATGGTGGGGGGGGGGGGGGACTCAGGTCATGAACTCATTTATGGCAGGTAGCTGTGAGCTTGCAGCCCAACATCTGTAGTCAGCTGGTTCATGGAGGTTCAAGTTTTCTGTGTTGTGGGTGCAGTTGTTTATAAAGTTTACAGTATGTTAAAGGGTTCGTTTTACAGTGTCTTAAATGTAGTAATTCCTTTAAATAAAGCAAAAGGAAAACATTTCCCTTTTTACTACTTACAATAATTACAAGAGGAAGGCACTACAATCTAAAATACATTTATAAGTAAAAATCGGGTTTAGGGTAAGCACAGGATCATGAGATCTTAAGCCAACATAGGACACATTAGTCAACAGAGCTACATGATTTGTTGACGATTAGTGTTAACTATTTTGATGATTGATTAAACTTTTCTAAGTTTAATTTTCATTCAGGAAATGCTGTTGGAGCTTTCTAAATATGTAGATTATCTACGATGTTTCTGGACTGACAAAATAAGTCATTTAAAGACAAACCTTGGACTTTAAGGTATTCAGATGACATATTTCATTATTTTCTGACATTTTATAGATCAGAAAAATAATCTGTAATGAAAATAATCTTTAGGTGAGGCCCTATTTGTCGGCCTATATTTGGGTGACTCCCAATGTCAGTACTTTTTAATTTATGGGAATATTAAGAAACTACTTTTGTTTAAGCAACCAAGTAAACAACCTAATTGAAATGCTTTTCATGACAAACGTCTTTGTGAAGGTGACAAGTGTGTTGTAGCAGATAATGTTATTTGTCTTCTGTCAACTGGTGGTCTGTGACGCATCTCACTGTGAAATCCTCTTCACTTCCTGTTTAGGTTTTGTTCTGTGGCTTCAGTATAACCGTTTCCTCTGTTGTTACGTGACGGGCACATGCGCATGTTCTGTTGAGATGTTATGGCGACTTGTTTGTCCGTTCCAGACAGAGGAGTGGGTGCATGTTTTCTTTGGCTTTGACACAACTATTGTACGTTGCAGTTGTGGTACAGTGTGGTTTTCCAGGCTGGAGTTTTGGAAAGTGTCATGAGCAATACCTAGGTCCAGACTTTTCAACAACAACAGGGTTGTTAGGCTGCCCTTTTCAAAACGTAGTAGTTGTCTGAAAATAACACATGCTTTGCAATACTAACTAATCCTGTCTTCATCCCCTTGATCTCCCTAAGATTATAAAAATGAATGTAGTAGTCATAGCAATCATGGTTTCTTTATTGTGCCAATGCTACTGTCATGAAACCCAATTTTCCCCGGGATAAATAAACTATTCTGATTTAAGCAGTTATATTCTTTTAACCCTGCCCAAAGTAAGAGCTAATCGAGTCTTCAGCTATGTGTTTTTTAATCAGATCGTATTACCTTTACAAAGAGAGGCTTTTAGAAAGTAAGTTGTTTGAAGGCTCTTCCAGGGTCTGCCAGATTAATTAGCCCAAATCTAATCAGACATCAGCAGCTCTTTTTTTATCCCTCAGTGCTGGTGCTCACACAGCAGAAAAATATGCTACTCACTGTGTCCTGACCTCATGCATCTGTTCTTTAGCTTGTGTTCTTTAGGGTGTGAGTTAAGCTCTCATGAGGCTATGTAGTCCGGTGGAGGTGAAGCTCATTAAGGCCATTTCATTTCACAGATCTGGCACACGGCCGGGCTGTGAGATACTGCCCTATAATATTGCTCTTCTTGAAATGAGAACATCAGTTGGACCAGTTTAATGTAATACTTCTGATAAAGGACAATTCTCAGCAGGATAGTGCTTTGCAGGCAATAACAAGTGGATCAGTAACATAAACAGTAAAAATCCCAGTCTGTCAGATGGATCCGGAGGAGTCAAATGAGAATTAGGAGTACTTATTTTTGTGTTACTTACCCAAACTTTTTTTAATAAGCGATTCAGAAAGCATATTGTTCCACCAAAAGCTTCTCATGCATGGCACACGCAGGAAACTGCAAGGCAATTGCCCCCCAATTTACGAATTATGTAATTTGATTTTTCATCAGGTGGCCACTGCATTCACATTTGGCCCCAGCGTGTATCAAAAGGCACGCTCTGCTGAGTGCAAAGGTTTATTTAGAGGTTCAGAGTAGTAAGCTATAGGTTATGTTTCTATTTGTAGGCAGGCAGATATCACAGTGTCACATTTTAGCACAGACTGCTCTCTGAGGAAAAATATTGTTTATGATGCATTCAATTTTAATATATATTCTCATGAAATAATCATTGACATCCCTAGCAGTTGAGCTATTGTTGTCAGGAATTCAGCATGTTTTCTTCCATATATTTGTTTGTAAATCTTGTT